GCAGATAAGCATTTGTGTATTTGACTCTGAATATTTGCATAATTAGAACGTTCGGTTCAATACTTTTTATAAAAGTTGAAATAACTGGAAAATTCTTTTAGTTTTACATAAGAGTTTTTTAGCGGCAAAGTGAAATGTATGCAAAAGGAAATACAGACTTTCATATACCTCTTAGAACTAAGTTGAATACTTGCAGCCATCGACTGGCAATCATGAATTACAAGGTCGTTGTGAGATAAGACTAATTCCTGAGAGGTAGCAGGCGTCTCATGCGGCAATGACTGTTGCTTGGGTAATGTGGTTCAGAGCACAGAAACGGTCGGCCACTAACAGTAGCATTCTAGAGTAATAAACATATTCTGCACTTAGCCAAATAGTTTTTAATGTCTATGATTTAATTTTAACAATCTTTAATGTCATATTTTATTCTTTAATGACATATATTGTTCCTTATATACAAACATTAGTGATGGAGATGACATAGAAGTAGTCAGTAGATGACACGGTTACTATTTACATTAACAAGTACTTTTTACGCGAGTAGTCTGTCGGAGCAAGAATAATCCTTAGCAGGAATTGCTGGAAAATACAACACAACACCGAACGAAGTGCGGCGAATTATTACGGCTTTTGAGACAAGTGGTACTACGGAACATGAAGTGGAATGAATTCTCCAACCGTGCGTATAATACCAGAAGGTGCGTAACATAGGACTCTCAATATACTGATGATATTTAAGAAGTGAGTCAAAGAAGTAGAGTTCCAGTTTTAAATCTAGCATAATATTTCCTTCTCAAACACCTATTCCACTGCAAACATTCATTGTGTTCAATATATTGTGAAACAAATGTCGTTCATTACTTACTCGAAGGTGCACGCGTCGATTTCTCGTAGTCCTGTATTCTCCCAACCCATTACCATGCCGTGGAATTATGTGTGCGTATGGCATGTGAAACCTTTATGATGGAGTACAGGACCTATGCTGACGATGATGGGGTACGTGATGGAATGCCTCTAACCTCAAGCCAGGCCCACCAGCGGGCGGGCGGTAAAGTCGCTGAACACTGGTAGTTCGGTCTGAGGTTCGAATCCCGCGAACGGGCATGGGCGTTTTCGTGGTTTTCCCCATGTGTAACGTGCATACGAGCCAGTTTCAGTTAGAAAGATCTCCACGAAGGCATCCCTCCCCTTAGGCAGATAGCCCTCGTGTGCTTTGCCATAATTATATACAGCAACAGCAGCTAACTTCAAGCCGTTCAACCGATATAGTGATTAATGACGCTAACTGGCGCATTGGTGGGCCCGTTTTAGAATCCCGGGAAATGTAAGCACTGAAGGGGACACTCAAAAACATCGCGAGCCGAAAGTTCTTTCGAGAGACTGATTGTAGGGAAAAGTGGTGGGAGACCCTTGGACCTCCCCCACTGCGTGTTCTCCCTCAAAACTGAGGTGAACTTGCAGTTTTACAACAATTCGACCAACGGTCAGAGAACATTCCTACTGATCCTCGGCTCGGAACTGCCGAGTGTCTAAGAGTACTGAGCACTGATTTCGAACCGGTTTTCAATCTCGACGAATGGTTTATCTGTTTGAGTGTTTTCTTGATGTAATGTATATAAAATTAATTTCAGTTAGAAAGTCCGCAACAAAGCCATCCTTTCCTTTTGGGTAGAAAGGGCTCACCAGTGGCCGAGCGGTACAGTCGAGCTGAACACTGGTAGTTCGGTCCGAGGTTCGAATCCCGCGAACGGGCTGGCTGCATGAGTGTTTTCGTGGTTTTCCCCATATGTAACGTGTATACGAGCCAGTTTCCCTTAGAAAGTCCTCCACGAAGGCATCCCTTCCCTTATGCAGATAGCCCTAGTGTGCTTTGCCGTAATTAAATACACCAATCTTTTGGTAGAAAGCTTTTTGCTTTGCTCATTCAGTTAAACAAAAAATCTGTTGACCGTTATAGCGTAATGGTGTAGTGCGGTCCTCTTGAAATTAAAGGCATCAGTTAGTCTTTAAAATTCTGGTCTGAGATTTCCTAAATTGATATTGCTTTGTTGCGACATCATACGAAATTTTCAAGTAATGTTGGTTGCATTAACTGTGATGGATATAATCTTACTAATATAATTTTTTAAAAGAGAATATATCTTAATAAATTGCAGTAAGCATTTTTCGGTAATCATGTGGTACGCGATCTATTGCTTTTATTTATTTATTTATTAGATGGTATCACTAAAACGCTATTTTTGAATTCAAACGGGCGATAAAATGGCAGGTAAATAGGAAAACAACAATCAATTTTAGTGTCGCTATCTAAAATATAAATAAGGTGACTATAGTACCAGGTTCTCCAACATTCTGCATTAAGAGGTTTGCTCTTGTGTGATGCCACTGTCCTAAATATGCTCAAAAGCATCTACTTCCTTTGTGTCTTCGTTTCTTCCACTTCTGTAAGTAAGTGACATTAGCATTGGGAAAAGCCTAATCTTCCTTGTGTACATTGGTTTATAATCAAGTAATCCAGTATAATTCATAACATATTATGGAAACCTCTACGCCCAACCCTATGTACGATCATATTTACCGTAGAAACCATTCTGATAAAAGGTATTTCATCCAAACGTTAAAGAGCACATGTATGCCTTACTGTAATTAAATAACCTATGTATGAAAAATGTAATTTTTTTCTTCGCCTGTTTTCACTCCAGTTTCTCTTCAAAAAGCGGAAAAGTACAGAAAAAAAAAAAAAAAAACATTACCTTCGTTCTTTTTAGATTCCGGCAGCAGCTGAGTGATAAAACCGCTGAACACTGGTAGTTCGACCCGGGTTCAAATCGTGGAGAACGGACCAGCCGCATGAAAGTTTTCATGGTTATTCTCACTTTTAAAGTGAATATAAGCAAAGGTCCCTTATAAAGTTCTCCTCGAAGGCATCCCTGTCTTTAGGTAGATAGCCTTTGTGGCTTTGTCATAATTTAAATAACCCAATCTAATCCCTTCATTTTAGCTGTTATGTATATAGTATCTTGGTACACACACTTATTTAAATTTATTTTAGTTAGCTTCTAGTTGTTTAAATATCTCAAGAGAGAATAATTTTGAAAAATATATCAAGAGATTAAATATCTGAAGAGAGAATAATTTTTTAAAAATAATTGAACACTTTCATGCAATATCGTTGTTGTTCGATTTTAGAAATGTATTTTGCCCCTTCTATATGGAAAAGTTCCAAGCTTTGTCCATTCCTCCAATCGAACTTTTAAAACACTGCGCTAACTGATTAGAAAATTTCGAGTCTTAGTAGCATACACGTTTATACATTTATACACGTTTACATATACACGCATATACATTTATACACGTTTCTATAACTACTTGGTAATCAAGAAGCTGTGCGGATTAGTTAATTTCTCAAAATTAGAACAGCTTCATATGTATAATTGGCTAATCTTTGGAATATGGTAACAGGTAGTTTGGCGACATTTTGGTAAGGCGATAAAGGTTACTAGCTAGGACTTTAGCAGTGTACAGATAACTTTAGCAGATAAAGTCAAGAGTGTGCGAAATGCCATTTTTGTGCAATTCTGGGATGTTTTTTTAAGTGAAAATAGGTCGACGTGTACATGGATACCGTGTATGTGCAATTCTTAAAAACGCGGCAAGCAGTTTGCGATTCTGCATTTTCTCCCAATTTCGCACCTAATCTTCGTCATGATTAAGCACTTTTGTTCCACAAAGTTCTAGCATAAGCGTAGTTCGGCTAGCCAGATTGTTGGAAAAAAATGTTGGGGGGGGGGAAAGGCTTTTAGTTCGAAAACAAAATGGCGTCCAAACAAAAACTAGCGGGTTGCTGTAGCAGGGTTGGTAGCCAAAAATCGCCAAGTTACCATAATCCAAAGATTAACCGCATAATCGTATAAATATTAACTGTAGATTGAAATAAAGATGATCGTATTTTTGATGCATGATTCAGATTCTTTGAGGCTTGTAGAGCGTGTTCGAAAGAAATTGCTGCAGTCTTCTTTTTTATTAAATATTGATTCTTTACAGGTACTTCTAATTAATAAATTTCTCAAAATATAGTGGAGAATTTTATGAAAACTGTTTCAACACTTTAGATTGAAGGAGTCTGTAAGTTTTTAATTTACTGAATGAGGGTGAATATTTTACGAATTGGAAGTATTTGTTGTATGGGTAACATATAGTGAATGCATTTTTAATAGAACTTCTGTATCTACAAAGGTTAAAATTGTTTTCATGAAACTTTATTTTGAAAAATTTGTTATTGGAAGTGTAAAGCCTCTATCCTAGTGTAAATATATAAAGAAATGAAGTCTCTAGCCACATTTTTCGTGACTGCCATTTATCAACAAATACCATATGCGATGATTTTTTAAAAAAGGAAATTTTGTAATTTAGATTTCCAAAATTAAATCTTTTTAAATAATTAAACTTACTAGATAAAATTTTCATTTAATTGGTCCTTAATAATATAATAAAAGACCAATTAGTATGTATTAAAAATAAATCCTTTGAAATACTGGGATGTTTTTTAAATATTAATGCTGTTAAAATATTTATAAATAAATGACTTGGTTAAAACATGTTATGCATTTTTTATAATATGTGTTTCATAGACATTTAGAGGGAGCGCGAGATTTATATTTTTAAAAACATTTTATGTAACGTAATATTATAACATTTGTTTTCATAAAATACAGTGTTATAAAACTGTAGTAAAATCAGAAGTGGTTTGAGAAGCACATAAGGGAAGAAGTAAATTGCTAATTTTTTAATTATCTGCGCTGCATTTTTTCTGACAATTATTTCATAAATTAAGGAAGAACCTTAGAAGTATTTTAAGGTACCAGATTTTTGATTAATCTCTTTCGTAACTGTGTTCTTTTAACCATTACATCTGAACTTTTTGGTAATGTTTGGTTTAATTTGAAGTTTCACAAAATTCTTTGCTTATATTTTAATTCATGCATCACTAATTTTTTTAGGTCATTTGTGCTTAAAAATGACGTCAGAAGTACCTGAAGCTCCAGAAGCTCCTTGCCTATGTGCTGGCCAAGGAAGTATCCAAGCTAAAATTCGGCCAGGCGTTTGGATACCCTGTATAAGATCACTGCACATGTACGAAGAGCGATGGAATGTGTCTGCAAATCCAGTAGTTTGTTCGAAGGATGTTCTTCAAGCTATATCCAAACTTCGTACAAGAAGCCTCAGGGGTAACGTTTTCACCGTTGCTTACGTTGAAGAGAAAACAGAGAGAAGTAAATTGGAGATTCTTGTATTTTCACGCATGCGATACGTGTTTGTTATCAAATTGGATTTTGTGAATGAAGAATCTGCTGGCTGTACTGCACACGTCAGAGCTTTTTCGAGTGGCGCATTCCCTTCGTGGTTTCCTCTTAATTTTTTATTCAGTTCTTTGTTCTTTTTTGTTCCGTTTTATGATCTAGGTAAGAATGCTCTTTGGATTAATATCCTGAGAAGTCAAATGACAATTCCTATTGAAATTACCGAAAAAGGACGGAAGTGTTAGCATCTACATACTTAACTGTGACTTATGCTTAATTTTACAGATACTGAAATTTTTGAATAGCGTATTATCTTTTGAAAATTTCTAAGAAATTTGTTTGCATTCCTTTCGCCAGCAGTGCAACATCAAATAGAAATAATTTTAGTTTCATTCTAATCATCAGTTTTATGTGCCTTGCTGTAGAACGGAGATATCGAGAATAAAGAGTGCCATAACTAAGAAATTATACAATGCTTTACTTGTATCCTGAATAGTATTCTTGATTTTAGGAGGCCAGTCATTGTTTTGAAAGTCTGTCTTCTATAATTACGAATAATATTGAACTTTTCAAAGGTGGAAGCATTTAGGAAACCTTTTTATGATGCTTAATTGAATAAACTAGTGTTTAAATAAGTTGTCGGATGCACACAAATTTACAAATTAATGTTTATGGTAGTCTGTTTTCTTGATTCAAGAAATCTTAGTTTTTTCATTATATTTCAAATAGAAAATTTGGAATGTATTTTGACTTTAATGGGCTTCCATCTGTTAATTCAGTTTTATAATATGTTAAATATATAAGACAGAATTTAACTGTTCTTGGAGTTACTTTGTATTATGATCGTATAATTTTAGGCTGCTGTAATGTAACTGTTTAGATGGCCTTTAAAATGTTTTAACTCAAATGAAAACACAGTTTCATAAAATAAATTATTTCATGACTAATGTTAACAGAATTAATAAATTTATTTTGATTTTTCTGAATAAAATTTATAGATTGGTGCAAAATTCTCCATACATTGGGTAAAAATAATTTTCATTTGTGTTGCATGTCATCTAAGATTTGCTGTTTTTTAATAATCAGTACGTTACCTGAAGTTCAATCTAGATCTTTTATCTCACATCTAGTGTTATTAAGCAAGCCATCGACAAATAAGATTTACCCTCAAAATGAAAAGGCGCGGAGAAAACAACGAAATGAGAAGTTTAAAAGCAAAGAGGAAGTTGTATTGTTCCTTTTTTTTTGGGGGGGGCGAGTTTTGGTGATAAGCATTTTATGGAAAAATCAAACAAACGAACATTTTCGAAGAAATTTTTGAATAATTATTAAATCAAACTCAGAAAAGTGTACGCACATCGATTTATTGCATTTCATTATTAAATGCCTGCGATGTGGATACTAAGTAGTAGATAATATTTGCTATTAAACTTTTGCACAACCGGTTGTAGCAATAAGCACACAGATAAATAAATAATCACGAGCTGAGAAGAAAAAAAACTAGTTCACATTCGCTCAGGTATTGATTATAATTTTAAATTACAAGCATATATATTTGTACTTGGTTTTAGGATATTATCATTTCTTAACTGGGATAATTTCTGCCATTTTCTCCTTCAACTCTCATTAAAGAAATTTTCCTTCTGCATTGTAATCTTGCATTAAAAAAGTGTTGTCTATTGTGTATTTGGCATAATAATTTAGGAGGGGATTTTCAATAATAAATAGTTGTCATATTACAAATCCTAACAAGAATACAAAGCAGACAACTTCTGTCTGCTTTGTATTGTTAATGTCATATTCACACACACGAAAAAAAAAGCAACGAGTATATTTGTTAATAAACCATGCGGATTCAAAAATGACTAATACATGTAAGAAACGCGTCAAGAGCAACAATGCAACATGGTGCAAAAGAACGATTACGTTGTCGAGGTATAAGAACACGCAGCCGGTGCTAATATATGATCACGTGGCGAGATACAAGAGCACACAGCCAGATTTTGGCGAGATAGCTCGGTTGATTGTTGTTTCAGTTTCGGAGCCCTATATAACAAAGAAGTACCCTGTGATTTTATACACTTTTGTGCTGATTGAATATAATTAAAGCATGTATTTAATATTTTATAGAACATGAAACGTAAAGCGAAATATTTATTTTTGATATTTTTATTTTATTTGAAAAGTTTAATCGTGTTAAAGCTGCTATGATATATTACATTGTTGATGCTATTTACGAACAGTTTTGAGTTCTATATATTCAGATTGTTTTGTAAACTTCATTCATACAGTAAAAAGAAATAAAATATATGTATGGTATTATTACATGAGAATGCTTTGGATGTTTTTCCTTTTTAAATCATACTTTGAATTCGTAACCAAGTGTTTTAAAATTTCATAGCATCGTAAACTATCACTTTTACTTCATTCAGTTCATACGATGATAGAAAAGTTATCACTTGTTAAGATGTAATAATATTATCTGATGTAGGCTTTATATTTCTCTTCTCTCTCATTTTATTCCAGCAACAGCGATGACTTGAAGCAGATGCTACAGCAGAATCCTTCAAACCATTTGAATGTAGATATCTTCTAATCAGTTGAACGATAAGCTTCTGTTGAAAAATCAGAATTATATTTGTAATTGAAAGTAATGAGAATTATATTTGATCATGGTTGGAAACATTTTATTAATTCAAATATAAAATTTAATTTAAATGCGAATGAATTACTAAATACAAGCAATATCGTATGTTGTATATAAATAAAAAGAGACAAAATTTTCAAAGCAAGGAAATAAAATACAAACCAGTTTCCCTTCGAAAGTCATCCACGAAGGCGTCTTTTCCTTCAAATCTTAAGTGCTTTGACATAATTAACCGATAAATGAACACAAAAAATTAACATGGTTTTCCTATACACATATGGTCTTCAGAGCGAGATAATTCATATTTTTCTGATGCGAACAATTTTTAATTTTATGGAGTGTCGGGGTGCTATGAAATACTAAAATAATAAAGCATTTACGTAAGTAATAATTAAGCTAAATTTTATTTAACTTTTAGAAATTGCGTAGAGTTTCTGGCGAGTATAAGTAATTTTAAAAGTATTTACACAATTAGCATACATGGAATACATTTTTAAAGCCTCTAATACCACAAAATTATCTTTATGCATTAAAAATGATGCCTCAAAAACTGTTGAATAAAACTGAATTAATTTATACTTTTCTGCGATGAGATATAACCTTGTGACACAAATGCAAACTAAAAAATCAATTATGTATGCATATGACATAAAACTGTGCTATAAAATAAATGAAATATAACAGTGAATATTCTGGAAACAAATACAGATTTTTGACATTAATAAGGAATATTATCTTTCTTAACTCTTTAATACGTTTTTTCAATGAGGTGATTAGAGTCTGGAACAGTAAGTTTCTCCTGTACACCAGTATGGTTTTCAGTGTTTTGTAAATCTAGGAGGTGAACTTCGGCATGCAACAGCTCATCCAAGGATGCTTCATACTTTTTCTGCAGGATTTCAGTTTAGGGTATTTGCCTGATCAGGGGATACATTGCTTTCCGTTTTAAAAAATTCATCAACCAAGTTTGCTTGATGTGGACGTGACGGTTAAAAAAAATCGGATCAATATTCATCTTTATAAAGCGTTCTCACTCAAGGTTCCTTAGGTTTTGATATCTTTTGGCCTCCTGACAGACACTGATCCTTCGTCGAATATAAGCATGGGAGGCTTTAAATACAGTGGATGAAAAAAGTATTGGCACTTGCCCCTATACTTGATCATATTAGCTAGCAAAGGGGAAATGCTTGACAATTTTTGGTGGACGTAACGAATACAGGAGTTAATAAACACACAAATCTAATGAAACTTTCATTTTAATATGCCTTTTACACAAAATATTCAACAAAAACGTACATTTGCATGTCAAAAAGTATTGAAAAAGTTCTGTTATGCAAATTTTTTGTGTGTGTTGAAGTTACGTATTTGAACTAATAAGAAACCCTTCTATTATAAAGTCTGCAGTGCTACTTCCAAAACTTTTATAACGTTATTTTGCTAATACTGTGGTAAAATGGCTTTGAAGTTGGATGTTAATGTTAAAAAACGTGATTATTCAGCTCAAAAATGAAGTGTTTAACTTATCGTGCTATAGGAATACAACTGACCGTAAGTTTATTTACTGCTGGAAGTGTTGTAAAAATTTTCAAGGAGACGGGATTGACGGAAAATAAGATTAGAAGTGGACGGCCTCGAATATTTTCTGCAAGGGAAGACGGGCATTATCAAAGAGATTAGGAAAACCCCTAAAATATGTGCACCCCAGTTAGCCAAACGTGTTGCTATTGCTTCGCATAAAACTTTCAGTGTACAGACTTTACGGGATGTTATACCTGAAGGGAGTTATGGAAGGGCAGCTAGAAAGAAACCTTTCATTTCAGAAATAAACTGGAGAAAGAGATTAGATTTTGCAAAATCTCATGCTAATTTATCAGATGAATTTTAGAGCACAGTTATTTACTCCGACGAATCGAAGTTTAACATTTTCGGGAGTGATGGACGACAATATCAATATATATGGAGAAAAGGCACACACCGAACTAGAAAAAAAAAAAAAAAAAAAAAAAAAAAGTTTAACCCCTGACTGTGAAACATGGTGGAGGGAATGTCGTAGTTTGTGGTTGTTTGGCAGCCCCCCCCCCACACACACAGAAATGGAGTTGGTAACCTGCGCTTCATTGATGTATTATGACAGCACGTAAGTACACTGACATATTGCGCTATAACTTGAATTTCAGTGCCCAGAAACTTGGCTTAGGAATATCATTCGTGTTGTAACAGGACAATGACCCTAAGCATACAGCGAACCTCACCTGGGAGTGGTTACTTTATAATATTCCTCCCCAGTTAAAGGCACCTCCTCAATCCCCTGACATAAATCCAATTGAAAATTTATGGTACAAATTGGACTTGGAAGTCAGGAAAAACAAAATTTCCTGTAAAGATGAACTTAAGCATATACACCTGCAATAATAGCGCAAAATTCCCAATAATACAACCAAAAATTTGTTTTTCTGTATGAGAAATAGATTACAAGCTGTTATACATGCAAAATGTATGAACACAAAGTATTAAATTTTGTTCCAATATTTTGCTGAATGATTTTGCCAATACTATTTTGATATGCAAATTTACGTTTTTGTTGTATATTTTGTGTAAAAGACATATTAAAACGAAAGTTTCATTAGATTTGTGTGTTTATTACCTTTTGTGTTCGTTATGTCCATCAAAAATTTTCAAGCATTTCCTTTTTTAGCTAATATGATCAATTATAGGCCAATTGCCAGTACTTTTTTTTAATCCACTGTAGCTTCAAAGTCTAATAGTTTTAAATCGTCTTCAAAGCACGAGTGTCTTTAAATATTATTCAAAGTGGGGGAGGACTGTCTTGAAGCATTCGTCATTTTCTCACATCCAAAATTGTATTCATACTTCTAAAAGCCGTATCATAGATTAAAAACATTTCGGAAGAACTATTTAGTGTAGTTTTCTTGCTTTGGCTCTTTTATATAATGTGACAATCACACGAATAAAGCTTGGGTTTAAAAAAAAGTTCTTGCTGTCTTGAAAAGTAAAGTTGGTCCAATGAAATATTAATTGCAGTGGCCTGATACCTGCGTTTTATGAAGTTAGTGGTCTAATACTTTTGTTGTTGATTAAAAACTTTAATTGCTAAAAAATTATTGCGACGTACGTCACTAATCGCAACAAAATTATTTTAATCTTGTTAGCTGAAAAAATATTTGAAACTCGCTATTTAAAATTTATGTACATAGTTATTGTAAACGTGGTATAATATGTATATTGGGGAACTGGAACACTAGTTATCTTTTAGGAATGGGGTGCTTGGTGCAGACACAGTTTGTTAAATTCAGTTTTAGTAGAATTACTCACATGAGAAAGTTACACAACTGTTAAAAGTGAGCCGAAATAAAACGAGTGAGCCGAAATAAAACGACTAATTAACTCTTATTTTTGTCTTTTATTTAAAGTTGTTTATACAAACTCATTTTTTAGTCTTAGCAAGTATGAACGCGTTTGAAATTTTGATATGTAAATTGTTACTATTAGTTGAGTGCTTTACCTCAGCAAAGCTTAATTAGCACCTGGTATCGTCGTTTTTGCAATACACTTTTTGTTTTTTTCCTTTTAGGATACGGAAATGACAATTGCTATAGTTCATGCAAGAACAGCGCCAAAGAAAGGGGAAAAAAAAAAAAAAAAAAAAAAAAAAAAAAAAAAAAAAAAACCAGATAAATATGGGATTTTTTCCCCACTTTCATTTATGAAAAATGTGAGTAATATTTACTCAATTAGATGATTTCAGAGAATCTTAAAGATAATTTCGTGGGTTTTAGGCTGTAAACAGAAAATTAAAAAGCTTTGAATTAATAAGTTTTAGGTGGGAAAACCAAAACATTTTGCTTACGATTGTCTGGCAAGATTTGTCATGTTTTGTTACGAAACGGCACATTTAGTTTCTTTCAAGGCTCACCATTTGCTAAGGGGTAAGAGCACTGAACACTAGTAATTCGACCCAAATCCTAGCAAACAGGCTGGCTGCGTGGGATAACGTGAATACTGGGAAGTTTCCTTTAAAAGTCTCCCACGAAAACGTTCCACCTCTTTAGGGATATAACCCTCATACAGTGGGTAGAAAAAGTATTTGCACACCTACATTTTTGTTTGCAATTCATAAAAAGAAGCATTAAGAAATAAATAAATTGGTATTGCCAAATCAGAATAAGTTTAATCATCCAAAACAATATTACAATAATATAAATAACAATGCTTTTTTGTAGCAAAAATTAAAATATCTCGTATCAAAAAAGTATTTGCACACCTGCATGAATACAAAAGAAATAAAATATATAAGCAAATTTCAAATAAATAATATTTAGTATGCATTCCTTTAGCATCTATTACTGCTTGTAATCTTGCTGGCATTGATTTAATTAAATTTTCTGTAACAGTAGGGTCAAGTATTCTACCACTCTTCAATAAGGGCTTGTTTAAGGGTAGATTTGCTTGAAATCTTCCTTTTTACTCATTTTTAAATCCAAAGAATTTCATAAATATTTCAAAGGATTTAAGTCTGGTGATTGTGGTGGAGTGGCATGTTTTCTGGGTACATTATAAAGCAACCACATACGTGTTATACCGGCAGTGTGCTTGGGATCATAGTCTTGCTGAAAATATTACGAATTACTGATACCCAATTTTATTGCACTTTGTGGCAAGTTATCTCGCAACACATCAATATAGGTTCGAGCTGTCATATTCCCATTAATGAAACACAAAGTACCAACTCCTTTGCTAGCCATACACTCCCAAATCATAACAGAACCTCCTCCATGTTTAACTGTAGGTAACATATTTTTTTATGAAAAGCAGTACAAGGTTTTCTCCAAACTAATTTCCTGCCATCTGATTTAAAGATATTGAACTTACTCTCGTCGGTGAATATGACATTTTTCCAGAAATCAATTGGCTTATTGATATAGTCCTTAGAGAATTCAAGTCTCTTCAATCTATTTCGTTTAGTTATGAGAGGTTTTTTTTCCTTGAGATCTCCCATAAATGTGTGCATCGTGCAGGACATTTCGAAAACTTTGGACACAGATTTGAACTCAAGATGTTGAAGCGACATCATTGGCTAAAGTAATTGCACTAATAAATGGATTTTTCGATGCTTCTCTTATGAGTTTTCACTTCATTCGCAGTGAAAGTTTCTTTGAGTATCCAGAACGCAAATTATTTGATGTAGATCCTCTTTCTTTATGACGTTTTATAACATACCGAACAGTAGAGAAGCAAACATGTACTTTTTTTACCTATTTTTCGATAACTTAGGCCATTTTCACGTAGAGAAACAATTTTTTTTTCTCGCAACGAAATCGGCAATTCAAGATTTCTTAGGTGCCATTACAATTTGAAATCGACAATCAACTTGATAACGTTTCTATAACACCTCCTTTTGGTAGTTCGCCTTACGTATGTTATTTACTGCGGGATGACTGTCAAATAATAGCATAAAAACTGCAAATTTGCTAAAGTTGAGTTGAGTGTGCAAATACTTTTTTGACATAAGATATTTTAATATTGTTGCAAAAATATTTTTTTATTAATAATATTATATTTTTTGTAATTAATTTAAATGAATAAGCTTATTCTATGTTTTAAATGCCAATTTTTGTATTTCTTAATTCATTTTCTTATGAATTGTGAAGAAAAATGTATGTGTGCAAATACTTTTTGTACCCACTGTATACTTTACTTAAATCAGTTAGCCTAACCTTCGTTACATGTAGAATTAAAGCGCATGTTTAAAGAAACGTATATTTCGCCGAACAATTTCTTTCTTTAGTGATCGCAGCTTTGTCACATAATTAAGCATATTGGCGTAGACGCCATTAGTAACAGCAAATGCCTTGGAAAGCCTATCATATCGGGGACACGCGTAAAAACCTCAAAAGCTCCAATATAGTCAGTCTAGGATCTAGACTGGTTGAACTACTAAGTGTTCAGTAGTCTTATCAGTTCGGCCACTGCTTTTTATAATAGTCATTAGCAAAAAAGGTTTATTATGACGTAAATGTGCGCACATAAATAACGAATGTTATTACAAGTTACTTTAGTTATTACATTTTCTGTTGTATATTTAAACGCAACTTCTTGATTCTGTTCTTTTATTTCAGAACTAATCGTCTTATACTGTATGACAATTTAATTTCTGTGTAAGCTTCTGAACAAAATTGTACAGTGTTGTTCTAAAGGTAATACAAATGGTATGTTACACGCACGTCCTCAAGACAGCATAGAAATAAAAATTTCCATGCTTCTCTGCAAGGACATTTATAAGTTGAAAAATATTTAAATATGTATCATGATGTCAATATTTACTGAAGCGTTATTGAATTGCAGTCTCGTATGAGAAGAAAATGAAGAGGTATACATATTTTAAACACTTAAAAATTTTTTAAATTAATGAATATTTTAATTTTGCTAGAGGATACTTAATTTGAACTGAATATAATTCATGAATAACTGGCTCAGAATATTTTGGCAAATTTTACAATTTATAACTTCAAGTATTTATGTCTGCTTTCTCAATTGTTTTACTAAATGTCTAATTCTTTTTTACTAAATACTATTTAAAAAATATATCAAAGAAGAATGAAGAACCTCATATTTTTCGTCTTCCATCTTCTGCTCTGCTGCTTCTCTTTCACTTTTTAACCGGGAACTCTTCTGAAAAATAAAATGTAAAAACTTGAAACCCCCAATTTTTATACATCTTTTGTGAAGATAATTTGAAATTGAAGGAATATTAAATAGAATTTGAAATTAAAAGGAATGTTAAATGTTAGGAATTAAAAGAAATTGAACATATTTTGATGACAATTTTAAACATTTTACCTCTGAATAATTGAAGTTAAGAAACCCGATTAACGACCAGTGGCTACTGAACTGGGTTTGATTCCCAACGATTGAATGGAATGGCTGTTCGAGGCTTTTGTGTATAAAAATATTATGAATCCTTCTATTAAATCCGAGATTATTTATCTGTACTTTATATGAATTTATTTTTATGCTAGTTTGTTGTTCTGCTTCTGACATTACGCTATATAAAGTTGAGGATTAATATTCCTTCCAGAAAAAAAATTAAATAGCTCTTCTACCCTAGAAACAAATTCGTCTACAAACTATTTTATCATAGGAGTAATACAAAGGAGAATTTAAATCATGAACTTAAATTCTAGTAAGAAATTATTTTTAAATATGAATATTTTGTAAGTTAAGCTTTATGGCATGCTCCACTTTCAATTTGATTTGATGTACGAATTTTCTAAGTAGTGTTGTTTAGTAATTTTCGAAGTTTGTTTCTTTTTAACATTTATGGCATGCTCCACTTTCAATTTGATTTGATGTACGAATTTTCTAAGTAGTGTTGTTTAGTAATTTTCGAAGTTTGTTTCTTTTTAACACAGTCTTTTAGCGCTGTTAAAAGCATGCGGGGGCTGTGTATACCTTAATGGATGGCTTTTGCTTTGTTTTACACCATCTGAATATAATACTCACTCACAGCAAATACAAATATTAAAACTTATATTCTTGAAATTAAGAGTATTTAGATTATAGTAAAGCACCTTAGGGGTATTTTCCTAGGGAAATGGGGCCCACCAGCGACCGAGCGGTAAAGTCGCTGAACACTGGTAGATCGGTCCGAGGTTCGAATCCCGCGAACGGGCTGGCTGCATGGGCATTTTCATGTTTTCCCCATGTGTAACGTGTATACGAGCCAGTTTCCCTTAGAACGTCCTCCACGAAGGCATCCCTCCCCTTAGACAGATAGCCCTCGAGGCTCTGCCGTAATCGCACACACCTAAGGGAATGGATGCTTTCGTGGAAAATGCTTTCGGGGAAACCACCATGGATTCCTGCTTTAAAGGTGCGATTCTTTTTCTCGTACATTTTCATTTTTTATTTCCGAGAATTAAAACATTTCCGGAGCTTTTCGTCACAAATATGAGTTTGAATTAAATTAATTTTTATATAAACGAAGGCAACTTTCGAGAACTGCGGAGATTTAAGAAAAGCTACGGCAGTATGCAGTTATACAAAATGTTCCTTTTTTAAAAACATCAAGCGACTAATAAAAATAATTTGCCGTATGGCGGAGTTTCATCTTTCTTATGGTTGTTTTCCACGACAATGTTTTCTTTTTACTGAAGATCTAAAAAAAGGTGACTGTTGGAAATTATGGAAGCAGATGTTCTGAGAAGAAAAATGCAGTTTCATTTATACGTATTTTATGCTTTTATATCGTTACACTTATCATAGATTTTTTCGGTTAGCCCATTAAGCTGTAATTACGATATTTAAAGCTGATTTGACATTTTCACTTTCACCTTTTCGTAATTATCCGATTCTCTTTACTACCATTTTCACTTTCACTACATAAAAATTATCCGAACTTGATTTTCTTCGTTTGCAGGCGTCAGTCGACTACTTTCATCACTCTTAAGTATTTTCTGTTGCGTAAGAGTTGGTGAAATAAATTCAGGAACAGTATCCTTAAATTGACATTGCTTGAAAAAAAAAAAAAAATGTGCTGAAAAGGGATTTTGTAGGTATCATGAGTGAAAGCAAACATCATTATGCTTAGTGATATAAATTAACTAAATAAATACAGGATAAAAGCAATAGAAAGTAAGTGCAATCGGATTTGTATTATTGTAGATTAAAAAAATAGTCTGAGGACTGGAGTGAATTCCAGTATCTGATTATGGCAAAACTGTAAAATATCGTTAGGGCTATCTGAATAAGCGAAGGATGCTTTTGTGTGGAAGACTTTCTAAGGAAAATTGGTTTGTTATTCACATTACATTGTAAGGTTTATCCTAAGTTTTTAACAGTCATCATCTTTAGTCAAAGTTACTTTCCTAACCCTTCTACTTTCAGCTTACAAACTTCCGGTCAGAGAGTGTTCGCGGTTAAATGCAAATGAATACAGAGCAGTACTTAAGTCGAAGTTTCACTGACTTCGTTAGAGAGTCGGAGATTCTAACTAACGCGCGTTTGCCATTTGGCTACCACACTCTTTAAACTATTACTACGTTCGGCCGTATTTCAGGCCCTTGATAGCTTCGCCATTTAGTTAACATTTAAGGGCCAACTCCTGTAGAATTTTGATAGTTTCGGCTATATCCTTTCAGCTAAGCATTAGTTAAGTTTTATTTCTTAGTATTCTTGAGTTCAAGCCCAAGTGGAGGCTTTTCTGTACGTCCTGAGAAAGGGCCATCTGATAATATTTATTTTAAGCAATAAAGGGTAATTAACCCTTCTTGAGTTTACGTTTCTGTTTCCTGAGCTAAAGCGATTATTAGCTTACCAATTCTCAAGGTTCCACACACATAGCTGTGAATTCTAGGTTGAAACCTTATAATTGGTTAAAATCACGAAATCTCCATGCAGCCATTTATTTTCCCTGGCACCTGAATCCGAATTGAACAATCGGGGTTCAGCGGTCTTATCCGCTCAGCCAATAGTAAGCCAAAATAATCTTATGATTACTCGCAGAAGGGAAAATTGAAGTAAGTAGACAGCGGACTATGATAACTTATTTTATTGGACTTACATGACAGAAACTTTAAAAGGAAATAACATCTTTTGAATTTTTTCGGATGCCTTTGATTGGAATGTGGTTTTGAAAAGTACTGCGTTCAGAAACGATGCGTATACTAATGTTACACCAAACAATTTTTTCAACGAAAAAGAAACTGCAGAGCAGCAGGTGAAATGTAAATTAATGTCTTTCAAAGAAATTTTACTTACAGCAGATATAACACTGGAAAGAAAATCTATGAAACATATCTGAGGAAACTGCGTCGGGTGAACTAAAACAATGATACATAAAATTCAATTGTTATTGTAGTAAAAAATCATTTATTTAGTACACAGTTTTAGTCTGTTACATTGTGGCCTACCATCGAGTGAAAGGATATGATGGTCAAACCCTGGATTTCGATTGGAATCCCAGCGAATGCTCTGGCTACATAAACGTTTTCGTGGCTTTTCTCATGAGTTTTCTATGAGCTTTCTCTTGTTTTTCTCGACCGCAAATACGAGCCGATATCCTTTAGAAAATACTCCACAAAGGCATTCTACATAGTAATCCACATCCACTCTTGTGTATTTTATTAGTCGATAAAACTAAGCATAGAATATAAAAAAAATTGCATTATGCTTTGGAAGTGATTAATTTTGTGAAAAAATAAGGTAAATTAATTTCTTTATAAAAAGATATTAAGTAATAGGAAATAAAGTTACGGAAAGAAACATTCAATCGTTAAAAAGGGAGTAGAATGAAAACATTCATTTTAAAGGTCTTTTTTCGGGGTAAGGGGTCCTTCTGACAAAGATTAAGAATGTTTAATATCCACTAAAAAGACTTTTAGACTCTAGGGGAAAAAAAGTTCTCGAAAGATATTTTAGCGGATTTTCAAATCTGAAATTGATGTCTTTGCAAAATTACGTTGTACTTTCAACTACTTTTGAAAAATTTAATTTTTACAAAAAAGTGGATTTTTCCTGCTACAGGATAACGCGTCAAACAGTTTTTTGTAGAAAGATATATGGTTCAACGTTGCCTATTGGCTGTCATTAAGTTTAATGTACTGTTCTTATGTCTCATAACGCTGTTTTTATTTTCACAGGAAATATTTTCATTCAATAAAATGTTTTTAAAGTATGTTATTCTGTTTCGTTCTTTGCTCACTGAAATAATCTAAAAGCTGTATTTCTTATATACTTAGGAAACTTTACCATTGTCGAAAGAAGCTGAAATCAAACGTATATTTTCTTGTTAAAAGCATCACGTTGCACATATATATTTCTAAGGAAAAGTTTTGTCACGTGTTAAGGTTAGATTATTTGAATATGGCTAAACACACGAGGGATATCTGCCTAGGGAGAGAGATGCCTTCATGGAGAATTTACTAAAGAGAAACTGACTCGTATTCATATTACACAAGGGAAAAAACACGAAAAACCAACCAAGAAGCCAACCCGTTTGTTAGGATCAAACCCGTGTCGAAGTCGCTATATTCAGCGCTCTTAACTACTCGATCACTGGTAGGACGTCATGTGCTATGGAAAAAATTAAAAAAAAAAATTCTAATACTTTTTACAACTTCCCTTAAATTTCAGTAATACCTATAAATCTTGTTTAGCAGTTCGGCCTGTTTTTTTTTCTCCAAATTAATTCTAATTTATGATATATGTAGTCAAAATTCCTGTATCCAGTATTCAACCTATATTCTGTCTTTGGTCTTATTACTCTTCTGCAGATGAAGAACTACGAATTGTTGCCATTCTTAAAACAGAAATTTACGTTCACATCTGCAATAGGGTATACATTTATGCAACATGTGCCACCCAACCGCTATAGTTGTTAACGTCACTGATTGCCGTGCAGAAGGGCCCGGGTTCGGCATGGATGTAAATGGTGTGTAATGGCATGGTTTATAACTGTATAGTGTTCGTGTTGCATGGGGGCCACTCTAAATATACGGCGAGCCGAAAGTCTTCTCGAGAGGTTGGTTGTAGGGAAAGAGGGGTGGGAGACCCTCGTACCCGTCCGTCCGGGGTGGTGCTGTCCATCAAAATTGGGAGGCAGAACTGAGGTAAATCGCACTGTCACCTGTAAGGTGCTCAAGGCTGTTGCCAACGATAGGCGTAATCTTGCGCTCCTTGCCACAAAGAATTTCGTGAGCTTGGGCTGACTATACGTCAGACAAGTGAGCATAGGCAACAACATTTATGCAACATACCTTAAAAATACGTGTCAAGAAATACTTTAAACTTAAAAAAAAACTTTTCACTGAATTTGCAGTTTTTAGCCAGGGTATCTGTTACAATATTCTCTACAATACTAGGGTTAAAAGGAAGAGAATTTTTTCTCTGTGCTACCTACTCACCAGCAGTCGAGCGGTAAAGTCGCTGAACACTAATAGTTTGACCTGAGCGAATGGGCTGGCTGCATGAGCGTTTTCGTGAGTTTTCCAAATATGGAAAGCTCCATATATACTAGTCAGTTTTCCTTAGAAAGTTCTCCACGAAGATATCCCTCCACTTAGGGATACAGCCCAAGATCATAATCAAATAATCTTTGCCATAAATCAAACCAACCAATCAGCCTGTATTTTGAAGTTTCCTTAGTGAAAACATCACGATCAGCAATAAATTTACGTACAATTTCTGTAGTTTTTTTCCCTTGCCAACGTGCATTAATAATTTCGTTTTCGTTTTCCTCCATATTTCTTTACCTTCACTAGTTTTGTATTTCGTTCACCCTAGCTTTTTATTAAAAGTGGCTCTTTTACTACCCATTTAAACTATTATGTGACTAACTATGGTAGAATACAGTAGTAGAATGATTATTGTAACATATTTCTACGTGGCTCTTTAAACTCCCTACCAAACTCATTTTACTACAGAATTAAGTACCTAATATAGGACGTAGGAGGTATCTACGCTCGGTAATACTATTCTCGGTAATCCTACTTAGCATTTTAAACACTAGGAAAAATTAGACGATTTCTGTGAAAAGTTATACTTCTTTTCTAATAAATAAAAGGTTATTATTCGAATATGATAAGATAATACTAATAATATTTCAAAGACCTATATTTCGCTCCAAAAATAGGTGTGGAAATCGTAAGAAATCTGCCAATTATTTGTGTCCACTGATACTGAGAAATGGTACTTACGTATTAGCACAACCACTTTAAAAGAAGTTGCCAGCTTTCAGAATGCACCAAACTCAGCATGCTTACAGCAGTTCAATTTTAACTAGCAACATCACCATTTTCTCATGCTTTCGTTTTGTTACATTCCAAGTCCAAAGGTTTTTATATGGAAAAATCGCGATAATTTTTTATGTCTTAAATTCAGTTTTAAAACACGTGCTTGTAGGATTTGCCAGCAATAGAAGAAACTGCGCTGAAATTACTGCAATAATATATATTTTGCCACAAAACCCTTAAAGAGAATCTATTTTTAAAGCGATGGCGGCTTAATTTCCATCGGGCCGAAAGGAAAAAAAAAAAAAAAAAAAAACATGTAAGTAAATTTATTGGTTTATTTTTCGGATAAATTCAAATGTAAAGTACACTCATGTCCATAAATTAAGGATAATGCAAAATCGGGCAAAGGAAGAGTTAGAAGCAAAACAAATTTGACTTATTTGTAAAGCTTATTTATTAAACAAAAGGTATAGAGCAAAAAAAGATGCTATATGTTTATATTATTAAAAAAATTAGCGATTTTTTCTCCCTGGATCAAATTTAAAAAAAAAAAAAACCCTATTTACAAAAAAACTAATATTACATGGTTGGTATGATTGTTAATACATTGCATGTCTCACAGACGATGCAATACAGTCCGTACAACGCCTAGGCATGCTGAGTATCAAATTATCGATCTGATCTCGGGGAATATTACACCACTCAAAAAGCAATGCTCTCCGAAGTTCCGGTAGACATGTAGGAGGAGGATGACGGGCTGCAACTCGTCGGCCAAGCATGTCCCACACGTGCTCTACTGGATTCAAGTCCGGTGAGAATGCTGGCCAGTCCATACGGTGTATGATCCGATCCTCCGAATTGAAGCATTCGCTTACGATGTTTGCACGGTGAGGACGGGCGTTGTCATCCATAAACACAAATTGTGCGCCCATGGCGCCCCGAAACAAACGTACATGTTGTTCCAGAATGATGTCCCGATAGATTTGGCTTGTCATGATTTCAATTTGAACATGCAGGTCAGTTCTGGAACCCAGAATAATTCCACCCCAAACGAGCACTCTTGCACCACCGTAACGGTGTCGTTCAATGATGTTTTCTTGGAGGTAGCGGGTACCTGGAGCTCCCCATATGAAAGCCCGGCGAGAATCAGACTGCAAGCTAAATCTGGACTCGTCGGAAAACATCACACAAGCCCATTGTTGCGGTGTCTACAATGCATGCTCTCTACTCCAGGCTAACCGCAGGCGACAGTGAGTTGCAGTAAGTGGAACGCATCTGACAGGTCTACGAGCATATAAACCAATCTGCCCTAAGCGTCTGTACATGGTCTGCCTTGAAATTGTCGTACCAGTGGCTGAAAAGAGCTGACGACAGGTCTGAGGTTGTGCTCCGCCTGTTTCTTTTGGCAGTAACTGCCAAATACCGGTCCTCATTCGGCATTGTAACTCTGGGGCGACTTGTGCTGTAACGTCTACTCACATTACCATCATCTTGGATTCGTTGCCAAAGCCTGGAGATGACACTCTGAGCAATTTCAAGTTCGTCTGATACTTCCAGTTGGGTACGCCCACATTCCAGACGGCCGATAATTCTACCACGTAAAAAATCATCCAAATGCGTCCTTTGTGTCATAACTATTCGGTTATTGCACTGAAATGCTTATAAAGCGCCTGCGAACAATTTTACTTCTTTGCCTGTATTCCTTATATATCACTCTCTTACACTCTCGTCATTGTGACGTACCATCGGTGTCATCTGCTTACTTCCTGAAATTTGCATATGATTGTTGAAGATGAGTGTGGTGATTTTACAGGTGATATATTTATTTTAGAGTTCGATTTCCGCGCGACTCTGAATTATCCTTAATTTATGGACATGAGTGTATGTGTGTAATAAATAATTTTTCGCATTTATAAGTCGCTCTTTATTTTTCATCTGTAAAAAATCGCCAAATTACGCCAAAGTGTTTGTACTAACACGTAGTAAGTACCGATGTTTGCTTGTAAGTTTTTATTTACTCTAATTTGCTCGAAAATGTATCTTGTTCATTTTTAGGTAATTACCTTAAAGGAAGATGTCAAACTTTCTGAAGGTTTCCTGTTTCTTTTAGAGTCTTTCAGTCTTTTGTACTGAGTCATAAACCATTGAATTGAAGGTAGGAGGTTGAACGGTGGAGGCACTAAATAATATCCATCGAAAACACTCAGCCAAAGCGTTGAGCAAGCAAACTTCCATTCCATATCTGCATTTTCCTGGAAATACAGATTTTTCACAATGTGCTAAATTTCATAATTCTTAATATATTAAAGGGTTGTAATAGCCTAATATTTATTTAACCCTTTGACCATGGTAGTGGTCAAAGGGTTTTCCTATTAGCTAGAAATTTCAAGTTAATCAGGAAATTGATTGCACACTATTTCAAAACATAATCCCAACTTTTATTTTTTTCAGCCATTTGAAACGTGGGCAAGTAACAGAAATTTATGAAATAGATTCTGTTTCATTCGTTTTGCATAATTTATATCAGTGGCCTCTGAGACTGCAGTACAATAGTTACAGGTTAAAACTAATCTTGTTTTAGTAACTGGAAAATTCAGTTTTATGCCATTTGAAAAATATGATGTTTCTGTTAATCCCTAAAACAATTTAATCATCTCTTTGATGCAGCTGAAGATTCATCTTAGATTATACTTGATTTCTGAACCTGAGACAAAATTTTAAATAAATTCTATGAACTTCGAAGATTTGAATAAATTACGTTGCTCTGAAAGAAATGAAAAGAGGCAGAATACATTATTAGAGAAAATTTTGTAAATGTTTCCTTTAATATGCTTTTGTGTGCTCCAATACTCTTTTCTTCCTCGCTTGTACACCAAAAATATAAAATATCTATTTATTTAACTGGTATTTTTAATTAATTTTGAGGGTTTGTTTTTCGATTCAGCTGTAAGATATGGCATGCAATAAAAGCATTTCGTTTGAATTAAATGTTTAGTTATTCTTTCAAAAAAATGTCTGAAAGCTTGTTCCGTTCCAACACTTTTTTGACTCACTGTATATATTTTACATTTCTTTCTTTCCTATGTGGGTACAGAGAGATTGGTCTTCCCCCCCCCATATATTATTCCAGTAAAGTTGTACTTAAAGCAGTCTCTTCATTCCATTAGCTAATTAGAGTTTGAGAAAGAATCTAGTTAACCTTTGAGATACTTAACGTATTAACGCAACCACCTTAGAAGTCGCGACATTGTCAAAATGTTCCAAATTCTGATAACCATGCGCTTAACAATTCTACAGTTTTAGCAAGCAATGCTGACATTTTCATATAATTGGTTTAGTTGATTATGGAAAAGCACGCAAGGGCTATCTGCCTAGGGAACGGATACTTTAGTGGAGGATTTTCTAAGGGAAATTGTTTCGTATCCATATTACACTTGGGAGAAACCATGATAACGCTCATGCAGCCAGCCCTTTCTCTTCGAGAATCTATGCCGATGGCGAACTACTTGTAATCAGCAACTTTGTCGCTCCATTTTCATATGCATTCTTCTTGTTTCATTGGAAATGGCTTTCTAGAAAAATCCTGACATTTTGTTTCCCTTGAACTCAATTTTAAAATATGCACTTGAGGGATTAGCTTGTAATTCAAGAAATATTCTGCAGGAATATAGTATTTTGCCTCAAAAATCACTTAAAAGAGCAATTTCTCTATTCTTGAATCCATTGAAATTTGCATTGGGGAAAAAAAAAAAAAAAAGAAATTCACTTCTACTACTCAGTTTACTGAATGATCTTCGAGACAAAAATACCTAATTAACGCATAAAATATGAATTTATATGATAAATAATTTTTGGTAATTATCAGACATAATTCCTTTTTTATATATACCGCAAAACTGCACATAGCTAGTTGCGTTAATACGTAAGTACCGCTTTAGTTCTCCGACTAAAATTATGTTTAATTTATATTGTACGTTCATTTTTTTCACTGCTACGGAATTTTTAGTTTCACTTCTATCAGCTTAATTTGCGTTTGGTTATTTAAATATAAAAAGTTTCTGTATGTTCGCTGCAGGACACTATATTTAATAAGAATAAAGGTTATGCTTTATTTTTATCATTTTGTCGCTTTAGACGCATTTTAATGCATAGGTCAGGCGCTAAGAGTTGGGAACGTAATTTTAAAATTAGGACTACCGGTGATTAGTTTCTACTGGCTATGAAAACCAAATAAATTTCTGCCAATCATTTGCTGTGATGTTAAAAATAAGGCAAATCTACGGGATGAATGGGGAACACCTTTTGTGAAGATTTACTAAAAATTGGTTGATAGTATTCGTCGGAATACTATTATTGTCATCCAAAGAATATGTTGACCGACTGACCAAACTAATTATACTAAGTTGTAAAAAACAGCCATGCACATTAAAAGTTTATGATGGCGAACACTTTTGATAATAGTAATATAAATATATGTATGAAAATATACAGGACATTTATACACAATCTTGAAATTTATAGCAACTGGAAATAATCTTTATTAAATTCATTAAGCAAAGAAATCTGTATATTAAACGGTACTTCCTTGTTTAAAGCAGCCACCTAGCTTAGTCGCCAAAAGAGGAAAATTTGCCGCCAGAATTGGAAAACTTGAAGTAACAGTAACAGCAAACTCGTAATGATAATAATGCATCACATGATGTAATATATATAATGTTTAACGCACGCAATGACGAAGCATTGCGCGAAGCCGAATTTGAGCAATTCTCCAATGTTTTTTAAGAGAAAATAAATTGCTATGTGACGAGGAGAACAACAGTAATGTATTATATGATACAGCATGTATGATGTTTAATATGTTGTTGCGAAATACCCAGCTGCGGTAAGATAGCTTCTCCGAAAACCGGGTTTAGGTTTACCAGAAAATGGCAAAGGCAGGGTTGCCTGATTTGGCACGAATCGCCATTTGGCGAAAAAAATTGGCGATATGCCATAACGAATTCATACCGGTTTTCTCTAGAATGTTCTCGAAGACAAGTCAAAAGCTATATAAACGCGGAGTAACAGTTTATCGTGAAGAGAATCTAGAGTACGTTGAGTTCAGTAGTGAGTTCAGAGATTAGCTTGAGAGCGACCGAGCCGAGTCGGGAGCTGTACTTTAGTGCTTTGCCGTGAAGGTGTCTTCACCGTTGTAGCCACAGGCTGTGTTGCTGATTGTTTCAGCGTGTTTGTCGTTGTTTTTCGACGACTGTAAACGTGTCTTTGGAACTGTACTGTATAATACTGGCGAATAAGTTGTTATTTGATTCTTCATCAAGTGTTGCCATCAACCACTCCAAATCCACAAACCCGTAGAACGCAACAGTATGATATAATCTTTATTTAACAATTCAGATTTGTATTTTAAACTGTTTTCTTTTGATATGTCGATAATCTCTGCGGATAAATATTTATGGGGCGGCAAGATGTAGAACGACAAAAAATGGTATTTCATTCTTCCCATGTATATAGCGATATGATTTCGCCCGAAAAAAATCGGAGAATTACAAAAATTCATCATTGCGCGTAGTTCTGGCATTGCGCATGTTAAACATTATCTATATATATTATATAATATAACATTATATGATGCGGATTTAAAATTTTTATGGTTGCCATAGTGTTTTCGATTTTACGTTAAATTAATTTTGGATGTCGCCAAAACGCTTGCTGTGGCCACTTTAACAAATAAGTACCATTAAATATTTTAAAGGCTATTTTTACTTCATGTTACAATATTAAATACTCTATTTCTTAAATATTTTCACTTTAGCCCGAATAGTAAAGTATGAAATGCTAACACTTACCTGTACTCGTTGATAACTTTCAGCCATCATACCTATTAGCATATTTAGCAGAACTAAGCAGGCAATGAAGTGGTACATTCCCCACATTCCGTAACCTATAGCTTCAGTGAAGTAATGCTTGTTCTCATCTACCATGACTTCATCAACTAGAGAGCCACCGGAAGTCATGTTACGACAGTTGTGTATACTCGCAAAATGAGGTTCACCTTTCCCAAATATTGCCCAAAACAAATTGTTAGAAGTTTTGAAAAGCCTGTAGAGAGTTAGGAATAAGTAACTGAAATTAAAAATAAAATTAACTTTTGAGAATAATATATTTTGACAATCTGGATTTAGAAGCTCTTTGATGATAATAAAACTTTCTTATACTATTAAGAATATAAATACAGAAAGTAATGCAACAAAAATAAAAAAAAGAACTTTTAAATATGATTTCCTACACTAAAATTATTTGCAATAGCTGTTATTAGCGAATATTAGTTTCTTGTTTTTCCTTTATCACAAAATCAGCAGTGGTTTAGAAAATTATTCATTTTTATTTCATAAATGTGTACTTTTCCGTTAGGGCATCATTACCCATCACCAAACAGAAACGTTGGCGCGAAAGCTAAGTAAATCAGTGGTCTCAAACTCAAATTGAATGCACGCCAATCAAATGTTTGTATACCCTTATATAAAAAAGTCCCTTATATTCAAATCTTCGAGTAAGATTTATATAGCAGTGTAACTTAATTAGCTCTATTATCATGTAGTCTAAACGTTTTTATCCTGAATTTGCTGGGCCCTATTCTAGGCATACTCAAGATTAATATTCGTTAACGGCAAATGTTATTCTCTATAAATAAAATCTAACTTGCTTTATAATGAGGAGTTGCTTTTCAGTGTAAGATTGGTCACAGAACAAAAGACTGATACTGCCTGCTACAGAACTAAAGTTAGAAGGTTAAAACCCATTATAATTTAGATCTTAAAACGGAGTCTTCAGTTAGGATGAGCGAAGAGGAAATCTGAATGGTGGTTCAGGCGTAAATGAGAACGCTTAATGCATTCCTTTTGATTAAAACTTATTTAATTTGTATTTATTATATAATAACAGAACAAGCGAGGACTGTTTAAAAAGAGGGTTGCCTTCATAGAGCATTTCTAAAGGAAGCAGGCTCGCATGTACTAGTACTTACGAAGCTTTCCTACTGCAAGCGATTTTAAACCTGTTTTAAATTTCTGTTTTTTTTTTTTTTTTTTTTTTTTTTTTTTTTTTTTTTTGTTATATATAAAGCGTAAACTTGCTTTCAGTTGTATCTTCAAATCTAAAAAATTTAAATAACTGTAATGGGTTTTACCCCGGAATGTATTATTTTAAGGTTTTAATTTACATTAGTTTACTTATTATATGGCTAAAGCCACAACAATATTTTTATTTTTTAACACTTAGGATTACTTTTTGAATACGGACTCGTACGTCTAGAGTCATAATAGCAAATAGTTTGATTCTTGGAATTATGATTGTAATCTTATTATTGTACGAATGCCTTCTTATGACTGACTTAGTGTTCTGTTTAGTTAGTAACAGTGAATAAATTGCTTGCAATTGATAATACATGTTTTGTTCATTGGAAGGACTTTATTTAACCAAGTAAAATTCAAGTGGAAACTAAATAACTTTAGTATGCTTTGAAAATTTTTTTTAAAGTCAACATCCATCTTTAGAACACAGCTTATAAAGTTCATTTTAATTAACATGTTATTAGGTTACATTTAAATCGGATCCTTTGTGTTACGACAAAGCGCACGAGGCCTATGTGGCTAAGGGGATGAATGCTTTTGCGGAGGATTTTCTACGGGAAAATGCCTCGTATCCAAATTACCCAAGCAAAAATCCATGAATACTCACTTGCAACCAGCTCATTCGCCGGAATTTGAACTTGCAATGAACTACCAATGTTCAAAGATTTAACCGATCTGTCGCTGGTGGGTATAAACATTAAGAAGGTAGATATTTTTTGCAGGAATTTCAGCCTCTATATAGCTCATTTTTAAGAAATTTTTAAAAAATTTTCTAAATATATCAGATAATTTTAGGAAATATATTTTTAAAACATAAAACTTGAATACTCTTAGCACAAACGTTTCCTGCTTGCAGGAGTGAGATTTGAAATAAAAATGACATATTTTTGAAATGATAAGACACAAAAATGAATTATAATTAAAAGTGAATTTAAATCGTGTACTACATGTATTGCTTACAATAGACATGCACATCAGTATTTAAGTGAATGAATTGCCTTATAGTACTCTGAAATCTAGCAGATTTTGTTCATTTAATTTAACGTTTAGTAGAACTAACGGTGGGATTGTTTGAGTATAATAAAGCACATGAGGGCTACCTACCTAAGGAAAGGGATGCTTTAGTGAAGGACTTTCTAAAGTAAACTCGATCTTATTCAGGCTACATATGGGGCATACCAACCGTGCAGCCACAGGGTTCACCAGGGCTCGGACCCAGGGCAGATTATCAATGATCAGAGGTCTTAAATACTTGGCCACTAGTGGAGTCACTTGTGTGCTTTTCCATAACCGATTAATGAAACGAAAGCATATTAATGCTTCCTTAAATATAGACTGGCGTCGGAATTATAATTTATTGTGAAATTGCCTGCATGAATTATTGTTTTCCACTTTGTATGGAAATTAAAATTATGTACTTAAATGTATATTAAAGTGGGTTTATTTTAAGAACTTACTTACGTTTGAAACTGGTTATCATGATGAACAACATATTCATCTCTGGAACAAAGATTCGAATTTTGGTAATACTTATACATAGAATTTATTCCAAAAGAGAATGCCATCACGACTATATTGAAGAGTACAAAGAAGCGAAGTACGTCGCCAAGCATATGTCTAAATGATACAGTTAATGGTCCAAGGTGGCAGCTTAATTTGCACCATATTATCAATCGACAGAAAGCCATAATTGACGCGATTGCATAAATAGCATCGCCTACAAGAACTGGATCATAACCCGACATTTGTTGACGGTTTGTTGGGCCACCTAGAATTCCAGTTATCTTTAGTACGAAGATCACTTCGGATATGACGAACAGTAAAGACATAAGCAAATCGTAGCTGTAACTCTTGTACCAAGAACCGGTGCCTTTTTTCCATCCATGCCAATATTTCAGAAGCAAATCTATAAAAAATCCCCAAATCCAAAGTCCGACTAAAGCCTCTAAGAGTAAAGCTCTAGGTGAGCCGCTGAACCTGGAAAAGAAAAAAAAAATATTAATTTGGTTAAAGGAGGAAAAACAATTATGTTTAACTGTTCGCTTGAATAGAATGTGGTGTCGAAGCACTTAGTTTTAATTCACTTTTAGTCATAATACTATAAATTTGCATCACTAGTTTAGGATTTAAATGTGTAATTTAGCTTGGACTGAATTATTTAGGTTATGGAACAGGGTTTCTTAAATTTTTTTCGGTCGCGATCTCTTTTTATCACTGAGATTTTTTCACGATCCCCAAGATCCCATAATATTTGCAAAAATTTTGTGGGACCCCATTAAGTATTGCGCAAATCCGACACACGCGTGAGTGAAACTGTCAATTTGTTTACTTGTACTGTAATATACTATTACAGTTTTAGGTCATTAACTTATTAGGAAAACTAATTACTCATTAGGAAAAACTCATTAAGAAACTAAATATACTAACTCATTAGGAAAATGAACGTTTATATTATAAAAAGAATGTGTCTAAACGTTTTTCGTTTTTTTTTCTTTGTCTGTATTGTCTTATTTTTATCTATTTTAAGATACATTGTGTAAAAATATTTGGTAATAGTAAAATTATTATAATAAGTTAAAGAAATATCAAAACTGCTAAACTTTTTGGCGACCCCCTGCTGCATATCCCGCGAACCTCTTAGGAGTCGCGACCCACAGTTTAAGAAACCCTGGGTTATAGCAGTTCACGTGAAGGCTAACTACAAGAATAACTTAGTTGAAGTATTTCCAGGTTCCATATTAATTATTTTTAACTTTATGTATATATTATCTTTTATAAGATAATAAATATTCATACCTTCAAAAACAAAATTAAATGACTAGAATTTTTAACAATGTTAGAAAAATTAACTTTTGAGTTTCCTATACCTCACCTTTTATGCATGATTTTGATAGTAAACATCATGAGCAGAAAGCGAAGAAAACTGTCTTAATTTTCATTGGTAAAAGTCATTCTACTTTTTAAAATCGCGAAATAATATGCTGCTAAAGTCAGTTAAATATCTGTTGAATTCAGAATTTTTTCTTTTGTAAAATTTCGTTTCTGTTTTTTCAGATACAGTAATAATACAATCTAAATACAACTTTTAATATCCAAGCTAAACAACTGATTAACTTTAATATTCTAACTTACGTGATATATATACTCAATTCTGTTATATAATCATTGTTTAATCTTGATAGTTCAAAGCTTAATAAGACATCACTGGTTAATATAATCAGCTGTTCATTACAATCAGTTTCCCAAGAATAGACGCATCAGATAACTGCTAAATTACTGAGATTGTACCGCTTTATAATAATCACTAACGCCGTTTGTAATGATCAAGTCACAAGTTATATTAGATTTTTTTCCGAAGGCTTTCACTCGAAATTTATGTTGTTAATTTATGTTTGGTCTTATACGAAAATAGATTAAAATGTACGAACAAAATTGTTATAGAGATTATAGATATGATTAAAGGAAAAAAGAAATGCCTGACGAATGCCTGATAACGTTCAAGATGGTACAGATTTTTAAGAAGACGATGTTGGCATGCCATTAGGCTCCGAATCACAAAATACATGTCTTATTCTTTGAAAGAGTGTAGAATTGAAGTGATAAAATGCCAAAAGTTATTCAGAATTTTAATCATTGGAGATTTCGTCGAAATACTGTTAACAAAATATGTTAACTTTGATACTTTGAGTGGGATACTGATGTTCAGCAGAGATGATTTTTCCTGCTCTTAAAATGTTAATTACGTATTGAGAGAGTTTATTAAGTCTCATTGACTGGAATGAATGCCTTTTATTTTAGTTTATTAAATTTTGAGAAAATAAATATCTATTTTTTAATATATGTAATTTGAAACTTAATTTATATTACTATTAAAATTTGAATGTGATTTCCGCTTTTTGTAATCAGCTGGTTAATATTCCCCAACAGGATTAGAATGAAAAAGATTATATTAAATGGCAGAGGTTGTATACAAATTATTCTTACATAAGCATCCTTTCTGTGTGTATATCCTAAACTTTCTCAAACGTGAAATTAATTTACATTATCTGGATTAGAATTTAACTGAAAATTTCCAGATATAACCTACATATTTATTTTACAAAACATTTAAGAAACACTTGAACGCATAACATCCGGATGACATTTGTTGTACGTAAAGACATTAATTTTAAAATCTAAAAACGCAGTAGTCAAGTGTAAACATAGTAAATGTACTATTAAAGACAAAAAATATAAAAAATCTGTGGGTACTATGAAAATATTAATGGGTATTAGTTAAAAATATAAAATATGTATATAATTTCAAGTATTATTGCAACTTACCTATCACATAATAAGGTCATTAAAAGAAACAATAAAAATAAACAATAGGAAACTGTGAAGTATATAAATCTGTTGATTGGAATATCCAGTGCTTTGATCGTTTTAACGTTTGGAGCAAATACGTAAGCTATACAGATCACAGGCATCAGAAGTGATTGCTTTACAACATGAACTATTCGACCTCTAGTTGTCCAACAGTACCATGGAAGACCCTCCACCCAAATGGATCTCAGCACTTGCTGGCAATTTGGATGAGTTACAAACTGAAATTATAGAAAAGTGATATAAAATTATGACTAAAAGCATTTTAAGATCCTAAACGCGGAAGAAAATGCTATTTTACATTACAAAAATAATCATTTTATAGATCATGTTCCCACTTAATTGAAAAGCTTAGAAAGTTTCGAGTAAAAGCTTGAAAAACAAAATCTGAAGGCTTTCAGATTTTACATTACGACCAAAAGTTTTTTTTTTTTTTTTTTTTTACATTTTGTGTGTTACCATTATTGATTAAATATCATGTTCTTTGCACTTAAAACACATAAAATCCAATTTAACAGCAATATCACAAAATATTTAAAAACAGCATATCTTTCGAATTTCCGATACACAGTCTCGCGCGCTGGAGATAAGCGTTTTTTCCCGTACAATGTTGCCATTTCTCGCTTTGAAATCGTTGAGTTTGTTAAACAAAATTCGTTAAAGTTTTACCAAATTTTAAATAGATAATAAAACATATTCGAAATGCAGAATTCGGGCTTCCAAGTTCTTCCCATGTTCGGTTGGAGGGCTATGTTATTCAAAATTTGATGGCTCTAGGTACCGCTGCCTTCACAATGCGAGAAACATTCATTCAAATTCTACATTATTTAGTTTCTTTAAATATAATACATGGCGATAATATTTGGTGGCAACAGTTTGAAGAGCGAATCGACGCAAAATGCGGTTTTCAAATTCGTAAAATGCGGCCTTTTTGGGCTAATGCTCTTTAGGCTAATAATACACATGCGAGTTCAAAATAGAAGATTTGTCAGCTAAAATGCACAAGCAGTTAACTAAAGGAAAAGCAAAGGTTATAAGCATAGAAGGTAATGGATAAAGAATAAAACGCGTTATATCGAAGAGATGCTTTACATTCTATTACTGAAGTTATAATTCTTGTTACGGCACAATTTTTGTAACCAGGTGTTATTTTGTACAAATTATTAACAATAGATAATATTTGTGTACTTTATGTGATTACGATAGGATACGAAAAACCTCTAACTTGAACTGAAATGTAGGTCTAGGTTTAGATGCAGAACGTGCGATTAAAATACAAAACGAATTCCTACGCATCTCATGATGAGGATCGAGTTGGGTTATTAGATTTTGTCAAAATACATTGTTGCAGACTATCTGCATATGGAATGGACGCTTTCTTAAAGTTTTCCGAGGGATTAGCCCCTGTTTGTATTACACAGGAGGAAAATCATGGAATCTCCAAAGCAATAGCCCGTTCACCCTCCATGAATAGAACCTAGGTAAAACTAACAGTATTTCATGGATTACAAAGACAGGTAAACTTTTATAGTTAGAGGAATTAAGAACATAAAACTTGAGCAAAAATTGTAAATTACTGCAAATCTGGTTTTCAATTTTTTTTAAGCCATGTAGTTACTATTATTTGGCATTAACCAATTATTTATAATTTCAGCCTTTACTAGAACTTCTCCTTTCCGTTTCCTCACCAGAAATGGATAAGAGGTTAGAGAGTATTTAAACTGAGGTTTTTGGATTGTAAGACTGCACGTTACTGCCTCTCGAGGCCACGTTACTTAGTTTTGCCGGCTCTGAGATGATTATAATTACTTGGCTTTGGGTTATAGCTGCCTTCCTTTAAATTTTTACGCCAATGACAAGTTCTGAGTTAACTTATAGTTAAAATTATTTGTGTAGTCCCTGACTACTAGTCCACGTTTTAAATTTGAATTCTAGTGTTACTTAATTACATCGCCACAAGTGGTAGTTGATTCTGTTGCTGAGGATATCTAAATCTCTGCTTGAAAGGAGGGTTGTAAGCGGAGGCAAAGATGAAAGGATCATTAGTGCGTCTATGCACAATCACAGCAGTACATCGGCAGAGTCATTACGATTGATGCAGGAGACGTGAAAAACAAGCAATGCCCTCGCTAGGACTCGAACCCTGGATCTCTCGAATACGCGCCGAGTGTGCTACCGTTACACCACGAAAGCATGCGGAAAGGAGGGAAAAATACCTTATTACTCTGAAGACAAAATTAAAATTATTTGCTCGTATTTTTATTTCGTTCATCTAAACAGACTAATCTGTTATCCATTGCAAAAGCTAAAGCTTTGTAGAGATGTTAGGTATTTTTGAAGCACAAGAGATGAAAAATGAGCAATGCCGTCACCGGGACTCCAACCACGGACCTCTTGAATTCGCGTCGAGCGTGTTGACCACTACACCACGAAGGCATGCGAAGAAGGCCGGAGTACGTAGAGATAAGAGATGGCTTTCATGGAAAAAATGTTTCCCTGTTAAGAAATCGAGACTAGAGTATGCGCATGGATTATTTTTTCCACCTTTCCGAGGAAATGAAGTTCCAGCAAAGATTTTACTGTGTTTCCTCTTTAAATTTTCAGCCTGTCATATGCTGTAAGGGAAGGCGAAAAGGGGAATTACTGTCAGTGAGACTAAAAAAGAAGATTGTTTTATTAAACTGGGAAGAGTTGCATTGGAACAAAGCCTTAAATATTTTAAATTGGCCCAGGTTTGGAAGGTGAGGTGCTTAGAAATTGTAACAGTCACTGCAATGGCCCCTCTTTTGCGTTTCACTTCTATTTCTTATTAAGGGCCCATCAGCGGCCGAGCGGTAAAGTCGTTGAGCACTTACAGTTCGGTCCGAGGCTCGAATCCCGCGAGCGGGCTGGCTGCATGGGTGTTTTCGTGGTTTCCCCCATATGTAGCATATGTAGCACGAGCCAGTTTCTCTTAGAAAGTCCTCCAGGAAGACAGCCTTCCCTTTATGTAGATAGCCCTCGAATGCTTTGCCATAATCTAATAATAAACCAATATTTCTCATTAACTGCCACTCATCGAAACTAATTAATAAAAACTGTATTTAACTTCAAAATTGATGGTTAGAAGGGTGAGCAGCAGGCCATGGTACGGTGATTAGCGATGGTAGTTACTAAGGCGTCAGATTTCGGTTAGTTGGTTGATTACGGCAAAGAATGCGAAAGCTGCGTAAATTAAGAGGAATGCTTTCATAGAGGGCTTTATGAAAACAACTTGGCCTAATTCCTATTGAATGGTAGGGCTGTGAGTGTATGGAGGTGAATGTTTTCGTGGAGGAAACCGGTCAAGTGAAAGAAGATCACCGAGCAGTGGTAGATGTTCCGGGTTGAGTTTCCGGCAAATGGATTAGCTTTATAGTTTTGTTCGCGAGCAATGGGAGCAAATTTCTCTTAGAAAATCTTCTGCAAAGGATTCATTCCTAAACGGACAGCCTTCTACACAATTTTAGGACGATTTTGATGGGGGAGAGGAATTTAAAATAAAATAAAATAATCCAAAAGAATTTATTGGCAACAACTCAGTTTGAACGTACAATATCCTTTAATGTAGTTATTGTTACCAGTCTCACTTGTCTGACAAAGGTCAGCATACAACCACGACACTCATCGTGGCAAGGAATCAAATGCGTCTGTTATTGGCAAGAGCCTTGAGTACACCGAGGGGGGGGGGAGGTCCGAGGGTGCCCCACCCGTCCTCCCGAAACTCTCCCTACCATCAGCCTGTCGAGAGGATTTTAAGCTCGCTGCATAGTTAGAGTGCCCACATGCCGCACAGGCACCATACATTTACCAACATCAATGCCTCCTCCGGGACTCGAACCCGGGCCCTTTGGTACGGCAGTCAGTGTCACTAGTTAGACGGCTCCAATGTAATTAAAATTTTGTACGAGGAGCTGCTAAGGGAAGCCGGTTAATCACCTGCTTTAAGAAAAACACATGTAAATAAGTTTGGGACTGAAACTGATAATTTTTTTCTTACCAGAGGGAAATATTCTTATTTTTTGATTAAAAATTCCCAAGACTTTCATGAAATTAATATTTTTCAAGGCAAAATAAATACTATTATCCCTGATTAAGAGAAACAAACCAATCATTACTTTTACATGGAGATAAAGGCAAGAAAGGAAAATTTGGAGAAGGTACGTATTTTAATGATAGTTTCAAATATAAAGTCTGGTCTCAAAATAAAATCTACTGACTTGAGAAACAGTCGTAATGGCTTTAAATGCGTTTCAACAACAAAATAATAACAAAGACTTAAGTTTTAGAAAACTAAAAATCGTTATGGTCGTCGCGTCTTGCCTAGGCATGCGGCTAACTAGTTAATTGGATAATAACTGGCAAATCACGAGTGAGCCACCTGTTAAAGCAAGGTGGAAAAGAAAAGTGCACAGAAAGAATTTTCTAATGGTTAGATTACTTGAATTTAGTAAAACCACGAGGGCTATCTGTCTCAGATGAGGGATGCCTTTCGTGGAGGACTTTCTGAGGAAAACTAGCTTATGTTACATATAGGAAACGTGTGGTTTCATGTTACATATGGTAAAAACCACGAGCACCGAATATGTAGTCATCCCGTTCGCCTGGGATCGAACCCAAACGTGGTCGAACTATAAATATTCAACGATCTTAAGCACTTGGCCACTGCTGGGGCTTGCAATTTCTAATGAAAACTAGCTTGTATTCGAGTTATATAAGTGGAAAAACATGGAAACTGCATGCAGACAGCCCGTTTGCAGTGTTCAGCGTTCTTATCCACTTGACTGTTGGTGAGTGAAAAGGCAAGTTTGTCAAACACTAAAGAAATAAGTCTTTTATTTAAAACGTTAATTGCTATGCACCAAATTATTTCTTAAAACAAATAAACAGCAAGTGTTACATGCACAGGAGGCTTTCTTACACTTGAATAGAAACTTCCTTGTAATCTTTCATCTCTGGCAGTAAGGTAATATATTAAACTCAATCGAGTCTTCGATTAACGTAAATATGAGCTAGCTTCCCTAGGAAGTTCTTTTACAAAGGCATCCTTTCTTTTACGCAGGTAATTCTCGTGTACTTTGTCACAGCCAGGTCAAACAACCGAACAAACGATACTAGAACCATTTGTGCATTTTTTAGAGAAAAGTACTTTCTATATGTTATGTAAGTGAAGTTTCATATTGCAAGATCTAACACTATCTTACTTCTTTTTGTCTGAAGTCGACGGCTGTTAACAACCGATTCAGTCTCAGAGGTCGGCAATCCAGGCAACCAAATTTTCGACTAAGCAAAGTTTTGACCTCATCTGTGGTTCGGCATTCGTCAAGCAGATCTGAAGCAAAATTTGAACACTGTCGACTCAGATCCTTGTACTCTTTCTGGAAAAAAAAAGAAGTCACATTCACTGATAAACTTTTAAATATCAGTTATTTTGATTTCTTTTACGAGTTGGGGCTTTGAGAAGAAAGCGAGAAAGAAATGGGACACTAATATATGCTTTTTTTCTCGCAATTAGTTTGATCCGAAGGTTAGTCGTGTTCGTGTGCCATTGGAGCTTCGATCAACCGTTTATAATTTGCGTTCCCTGTGCAACATTTCATGTATGGATACTTTGATAAAAAATTTTGAATGGAAGTATGTATGAATTATTTGTATTACCTTCTTTCTGGGATATAAGCCTAGCAATAATGTTTTGCATGTGGCCCCAGCTTGATATCAGCATTATTAGCGTTATTTCCCAATGTTATTTCATTGCAGATTATAATAATTTTATTTATGTTATTTTTTAATAGTTTATTCCTTATGTATTCGTTTAATACTTTTTCAGAGGTTCAGGTTAAGTTTTCGGTTTCAGTCTACAAAGAAATGATGAAAGTGTAACGTAAGCTGAACGTGACCTGTAATCACGTACCATTCTTAACTCTGTGATTCCTTCATGGTGGTCGGAAGAAGAAACGTTGTTTCGTTCCCGAGAAAAACTGGAAACTGCCCAGCTTCAAAAGGAAAAGAACTCCTTGAGAACTTTAACGTCCGAGTAACGAACAGAAGCTTTAGAAGACTTTCTGCATCACCTTCCCTCTTCATTTTGATGAGGAAAGAAGTCCTAATAATGTTATAAATTATTTGCGTACAGCCTAGATTTAGAATGTTAAATAAATTAAATACGCTATCCCTCTTGCTTGTGTCAACTCGCTACAAAAGAAATAATTTTTTCTTTTTTTAAAAGGTATTGGGACTTTACCAAGACTTTTATCACCAAGCTTTATATGGAGAATTAAAGTATTTTTAAGAGTGGAAACTTTCGGATTTTGGAAACATTTTAAGTCTGTTAACAGTAGCATTTGATTTCAGACAAATTCAGACAAGAAGCAAAACACAACAAATATATGGAATTTTTTAATGCAGTGTACTCATGTTGAAAATAATAAATGCTCATTATTTATAATTAGTTAGTTATTGACAAAGTGTAACCCTTTTCCGCAATATTTATTTTTTTCTTCTGCCCCTAGATAGAGATTTTATCTATCTAGCTGTCTATTTTAATTCATCTTCAATCCTGCTTTTGGGAATGGAAGAGAGTGATATAGATTTCTCTTTCTATGTGATGATTTTTCTCTATATAACTAAAAACAATAATTTCCAAATTCAAGTTTCAATACATTTATTTTTTAATATTCTTCCTGTGAATATTTTGTTACTTTTAAAGTTTTATGATTAGAGGTTCAAAGACTATCTTATAACTGAGTCTCTAAAAGCTGAAAATTTATCTGCGGTAATGGAATCTTAAAAAAAAAATACACTTAAAATTTTAAAATGCATATGCTTAAAAAAATTACAGTTAAAAAATGTGAAGTGCATATATAATTTATATGAAACATACTTTTTTAAAACTCTTTGAGAAAAATATATTTTAATTCAGTAACACATTGGATTTATAGACACATTAGGTTATCTCGATGCAGGAGCGTGGAAATATGCAATGTTCTAACCTGGATTCGAATTTCGGGCCTCCCGAATATGCGTCGAGTATGCTTCAGTTACATAACGAAAGCATGCGGAAAGGAGGGGGAAAATACCTTATAAACTTCTCCTTTTAAAAAGCGACTGGGGTTAGGGTATCTAGTCGCCAAATCCTGGTGGTGACAAATAATCGTTCACCACCTTTCAGTTCGGGCGCCAATTGTAGAGTATTTTTATAATTTTCGAACTTTGGAAATTGAAGAAATCCATAATGTCCTGGCCAGAATTCGAACGCTAGACTTCCAGGATACGCGTCCAGCATGCTTGCACTTACACCACGAAGGCATGCGGAAAGGAGGGAGAAAATGTCTTATAAATTCTTAATGCGGTCTATGATATTTTTACTTTAATAGAGATACAAATAATATAAATTATAGCTTTATTTAACAAAGCAATGACTTTTTAATTATTGCTAAATTTTCTGTACCTGGTTTTCTGGAAGATCACAAGATAAATGCTCCAGTTCGTAACTTAATTGGAAAGCTGCTAATACTGGATCTCGGGATGTTAATATTAGGTACGTAGGGCTTGCTAACGTACGGTAGGCATTCATACGGCTCATTGATTCAGTTAGAGTTTCTCCAGTGCTTGCTCGATTTTTACAACAAACATCACAACAACCTGCAATGTAGAAGGGAAAATTTCGCAGCTGCCTATAATAACATAGTTTTGTAATTACCTCTCTTTGACTAGCAATCTATACATGTAAGATAAAAAATATGTAAATAAAAATACCAATTTTAAATTGCAATAGTTACTTTAACCCTCTACCTTAATTGGATATTTCCTCTTTCTGTCCTAAAAATAGTAACTTCTTATGATAAATCGCTCTAAATTGCATAATTTCAAAATTCATATGTGTTATATGATTCTTACATAATGCCTTCAGTTAATAATAATTTTAGAGGGTTATTAATTATCCTGCCAAAAGTAAATCGGAACCAAATCACTGTAAAGGGGGTTTCATCGTAAACCAACTGTATTCGCTTTCTGCTTTTCTTGATAGTTAGTCATAGTTTTCCATCGTTTTCAAAAAATGTAAACGTCTTAGAACAGGTGGTTTTTGCTTCCCTTGGTTTACAAAAATCTGTGTCAACTGGAATAAAAAATGTTTAAATCGGCCATGACTGCAAATTTCTTCTTTGCGCCATCAACATTTGCATACAACATTCCAAATTATTACATGCACATACTATATTACTTTAAGGGAAAAACAAATTGTATTTTCAGTATAAATTGAGTGACTATAAATGATCCGAATTTTTGCTGAAATTTTCAGAACTGTTGATAACGTTTTATATCCATCTCGTAATGGAAATGTGTTCTAATAGACAACTTTTTATTATAATTTTTATAATATTTTGATCTAAATGTTATTAATCTTTTAAGCACTATAAACTTATAATATAAGATATCTGTAGAAGGTCTTTGAGCCTATGCAAAAGTTTAAAAAATTGTAAACTACGGTCTATAATCACATATTTCTGTATGAACACTTATTTGAAATGCGCTTTTAGACAGAGCGCTCGTGAAGTGCTTTATCAAAGTTATTCTTGGTACGTACGTATTAACGCAATTATCTTGGAGCAATCTGACGATTTTTTACAGAAGAATACGTAAAAGTTACTTAATCAGATGCAAGTTGGCGATTTTCGTAACTTTTTTAAGAGGTTTCATGAACTATCACTATTAACCGAAAGTCGGCAAACATTATCAATATATCAAAAGAAAATGCAATTTAGCAATTTAAAATGCATAATTTTATTAAGTAAGGATTATATTGGCATTTTATGAAATTTTTCTATGATTAGTTTTGGCTGTTCTTCTTCCCATATACACAGTGATCTATTTTTGCTTAAAAAACATAACACAATTGCACAGACTCGGCATTCCGCACAACTTATCTACAAAAGCGCATCTCGTCAATATTCCCTTTAGCGCTTTTTGCGGCAAAATACTGTATTCGTGCAGAAACTTTACCGCAGTTTCTTCCACTCCTTGCAGATTCCACAATCTCATATTTTAAAATTAAGTTTAAGGCAAAAAATATCACTACTTTTATATAAAAACCGTTGGAACTTTCGCTTATTATTTATGTACTATAAATACACTTATTCATCTAGCTAACTTAAATTCAGTTTTTATAATTACCAGAAAATTTTCTTTACTCTGAACCGAAAACCAGTTTAACGGCATATTAGTTTTATAAAGCTTTGCAACTTTTTTATTCCTGGTTTTATATATTTTGCTTCGAGAGACATATGACTAACCTATACTTAATAGTAAGTGAATAAATACTGATTATGAGATATAATATTAGATGTTATTTAATATTGGGTTATGAGATATAGTATCAGGTCTTAATTTCACTCACTGAATTATCACTTTGAAATTTTTTATTGCTCTTCAAACAATCAGATATAATTTCTTTTCTTTTGTTTAAAATTTAGAATACGACGTTAAAATTAGGAAATGATGGTCAAATGTAATGTACGCTACTCCAAAAATATATTACAGAAGCTGAAGGAGCTTCCGTTAAAAGGAATTAAAGGAAAAGTGTAAGATGTCTCATATATAAAATATTTGCTTATAAAAAATGAGGAATCCTAGAATTAGGAATCCGCTGAGGGGTTTGCTGAGTCAGGATAGAAGTTGAGACGTTTTCATTTTATTGATTAGTTTTATGGGCAAGCGAAATAAACCAGGAAGTCTTTCCCTTTATATATATATATATATATATATATGTGACGGCCAATAGAGAAACCAACCTCTTGAGCAACTACCCGAGGGTCAAGTATCATTGCTCTTAAGAATGTTACACAATAAGAACTCTTAAGGGAATAGCGCTGTGAACAAAAGCGTCAGCACTATAAACAATTGTAATAGAATTATCACTAAGAGAATTATCGGCTTGTGCCACAGCTAGTAATAGAGTTATAACAGTTGAGGAGTTTCTGTCTTCCTTCTTTTTTTTTTTTTTGTAATGTCTAACTGTATTTCTTTTTATTTCCTGCCTTTCGGAGAAAAACGTTAGTTAGCAGTTTTAAGTAATCAGAAGATTAGTAAGGGAGTTTAGAATTTCTTTCCCGTAAAGTTCAAAACATTTTCTTAACTGAAATTGTGTTCAAATTTCAAGATTTCACATAAATAGATATTGTTGTATTCAATTAATTTTTGGAAGGTGAGGAGCCAAGGACATTATATTTAATTTAAACATAACGTCTATTTCTTTAATTAAGTTCCACAGAACTTGGAAATAAAAATGAGAATGAAGAAAAAATTTTGATATATACGAAAATCATAACATTTGTCGTAGCAGTTCTTCACTTCACCTAGTCTTGTTTTTGTAGCGTATGTGTAAAAATGTCTAAAATGATATTCCCACCAACTGAAAGATTCACTCAATTATTTAGTTTCCTTAAGGTGAAGACCGAAATGCATGTGATACATGTGATAATTTGGTGAGTGATTTATATCGTAAGTTTCAAAAAGACAAACAGATGTCTATAACCAGAATCGTTGAATAAGAAACTTTAGCAACTGATGATTCGTTTGATCTGTGATGAGCTGGCTTACAGGCCAAGTGACAAGTATTATGCCAGAAACATACAGCAACTGCGGTGTTATGGGCAAATGTTTTAAATGGAAAGACAACCGATGGGAGAAATTTTATTCGTGGCATCTAATTTTTGCATATATTAAAGCATTCTCTTCCTTTCCTTTTATATTTCTAAGTTCTTTGTAACTGAATTAAGAAGTACTCCTAGTAAAAGCATAAGTAAAAGCATAAACTGCTCTTGTATGCCCATGTAATATTTATATTTATATTTTTACACGGAGGAAATATTCCCGTCTGCCAGGATGACTATTAACACTGTAAGACTTTTACAACAAAGTCAGGTCAGTGGTTATCTCAGGCGGCGCTCAGTAAAAGCATAAAAAAAGAGAGTACTAGAAGTAGTAGAAGGTAGAGTAGTCCTAGTAGTAAATAAGTAGTATTCGTATATACAAATAAAAATATATCTGAAAGTTACAAGCCCTTATAAATTTAAAGGTTTTTAAACATCATAATCTCTGAGTAAAAATATGTTAAGTTTATGATAATAATTGTTAATTGAGAAGATTGTAATAATTTTTATAAGATTATTTTAGGCAATAATTACACTTAGGTGAGTGTGGTTTCTTCATTTTATAACCTCTTTCCAAGAACATTTTTGTAATTTCTATATTCCCTTCTAAAGCTGCTGTCATTAGAGGCGTTAGATTAGAAGCGGCAACTTCTGGAAGGCATCGAATGCATTCAGCTCCACCTCCAACTAAACCCTTCAGTCTGCTTTCTAGATTCGTTTTGGCAATCCTTTAAGAAATAAGTGCAAAACATGCAATTCACGGTTAAATTTAGCAAACTTATAGAAATAACAAGATATCACGACATAAAATACTGCAGAAATTATCCATTAGAGAATGATTATGAAGGAAGTCTTAGATTTTTAAATAAAAGGTCTTAAATTCAAATTAAAAAAAATGGAATTTAATATGGTTTAGTTTATTCAATGCGAAATCAATATCACCTGTTAAGCAGCATTTCCAAAATATAAATATCATTTTCAAGTACAGCACTCAGCAAAGCGCAATAGTAGTGAAGAACACTAATTTGAAGTTCTTGAAGCAAAAACTCTATTAGAACAATATTCCTTTTCTTAATTGCTATATCTAAGGCACGCTGTCCTTTATAATCGCAACAATCAAAGTTGATCTGTTTCTTGCTCTGAAAGAAAAGGTAATTGAATATAAACTTTAATTTTTGACAAAACAAATAACTAAGCGGGAATCTGTAGGTTTTTATTTAAATAATCCTTATTCTAATTATAGGAAATATTATAATTCTAGTTTTAAAATCAAGGAAAGAGAAATACGGCAAGAAAACCTAAACTAACCTTAATTAGGCTGAAATTGATAAGCATTCGGAAAAAAATTTCAGAAATTATTTTTAATCCCATGTCGGTTTCATATTTCAATCCTTAAAGTCTATTTATCGATTGACTTACCTTTAGTATTAGTTTCAAACCTTCCACGTTCTCATTTTCGACCAGTTTAAGAAATTTCTTTTCTGCATGGCCTAAAATTTCATCGACGAAACTCACTCTGGGATGCATTTTAGGGTATCTACTCGAGTTATGCCTGCTCATTAGATCTGATGTATACTACTTATTGGAAAGGAATGATTTTCCGTAGACTGTTGATTTTTTTCTTCGTTTTGTGAATGATGCAATGTATCAGATTTTTATTGACAGGGCTAAGTGCTTGGAAGATAAGAATACATTACACATGGATTAAAATAACGACGGTAACACTCGGTTGATATTAAGAATAAAAGTGGCCGGATGAAAGCATTCTGTGATCCAATTGTTTTGCTTATCTATAATTTCCCAAAGAATAACCTTTTACAGCATTTCCTAATTCATGGTTTTTCTGTATTGCTTTAGAAACTTTGGATGCTAAAATAAAGGAAGCGCAGAGCAACTCTCCGGCATATTTCAAGAAAACTTCTTATTTCATTCGTCGTGGATAAATCATTATCTGTGCAAAGCGTTCGTTTAGTACAGCTACTTTAAAAGGTATTCAGATTGATTTATAATAATGATAACTGACACCTTTTATATTGCAAAATTTATTCGAATAATGTGAATTATTTGCCTTACATCATATATATATATATATATCCCAATTTCTCATCTGCACATATAGATATATATATATATATATATATATATATAGATTATGAGTAATTTAAAAAGCCGAATGCGAGCTAAAACTGCTAAAGTCAATTATTTATTATTAGAAAAGGTTTTTGTATATCATGTCCAAGGAACAGATATTTAATTAAAACGATGAATTATTGGAATAAATTTTAGTCAGTAATTTAAGAAGCATTTTAAATCAGTATTAGAATTTTATTGTTCAATAATCTAAGTTATTTAGATTTCTGTTGTAATAAAAATTATTTAAAAAAATACAAAAGAATAGTATTATGAATAGAAATAGTATTTTGAACTGTAAAAATTTTAAATAGTGAAAATAAAATTTAAATATTATTTTTAGTATTTAAAATATTTACCGCCTATTAGGCACCCTTTTAGGTGACTCCATAATAAAATGACCACCACTTACGGCCTTAGTAGTGGCGAAAGCCTAAAATGGTTAGTGCACGCGGAAAAAAAGAAAAAAAATCTCTGACAATGGTAGGTTTACATTCAGCTCGTTTCCAAACAGCTGCACGGGCTGTGTGCGGCATGCGCATATTTTTTATTATAGATAACGTTAACGAGTCAATTTTTGTTGAAAGTGTCCTTCCAAAGAGTTATAACTCTTCAGTGTTCCGTAGTAATATACTGCCTACTCAGCTTCTTTTGGTTAACTCTTGATTTTTCAGAGTTTATATTAAGACAGCCAAAGTATAGTCCGTCAAAGGATCTGTTATTAATTTAAAATTTAAATGAAATGAGGTCAGAAATTTTGAAAAGAAACGAGTTTAAACGGTCAGAAATTTTGAAAACTACGAAAAATGGCTGTTGCAGAGTTAGCGCTTTGTGTACAAGAAAAGTACTTTCGCTGACGTAACTATGGGAAATGTCCAATGCAACAGATTGTGTTCTTAAAATTTAAGCTATTTGCAAATTCGAAATTGCAGAAAACTTTATTTGTATGCGTCATCTCATTTCCCTTTTAGTGGGAAGTATTTAAAAGCTAAAATGGTGTGGTGTGTGGTGTGTGTGATTATGGCAAAGCCTCGAGGGCTATCTGCCTAAGAGGAGGGATGCCTTCGTGGAGGACTTTCTAAGGGAAACTGGCTCGTATGCACGTTACACATGGGGAAAACCACGAAAAACACCCATGCAGCCAGCCCGTTCGCGGGATTCGAACCTCGGACCGAACTACCAGTGTTCAGCGACGTTACCGCTCGGCCGCTGGTGGGCCTTAAAAGCTAAAATGAAAACCAGATACTGAGCAAGAATACTGTTGAAGAGATTTATTGAAAAAATAATTGATGCTTTATAATTCTCGTTCTTTGATAAAATATTGCAGATTACTTCACCTGTTCTCACATTTTTGGCTCATCATAATCTTTCATGCTCTGAATCCTAGAAAGTCCACTAACCAACTTTACTAAGGAAATTATTATATTAAAATAATTTTGCGATTTTTCTTCATAACAGACTTGATAGACAGCAGATTTGTATAAAAACACATCTTGTATACCGATTAGTGACAGGAAATGTGGGCATTTAAGTTAGTTGTCAAAGTTATCATTTTGAAGTGCGAATGCACATTCTTTATTTTTTATTTTGCTGTGGAAAGATATTGAATACATTTTGAAAATGATATATTTAGAACATCAATTTTCACTTATCACTGCGTAGCTATTAATTTTATTCACTTATTGCATACTAGGCTTCAAAAATGAATATTTGGTTCATCCGGAAGTAGATCATTTCTGGAAAGATGCTATTCCAGTCCTATGAGATAAATGTTATTTTAGTGGTAATCGTGATTCAGAATAGTATACGTCTGAAGCTGTCTTGATACAACCATTTCAAATGAAGACCGTATATTTCAAGGTAAGTAGCTTTATGCGTCTGTTTAGTTGACAAAATTTGAGTAAAAATTTAGTGAAGTATTTGCTCCCACGTACGTTTACTACTATTATTTTTGTAAGAAATTTGGGTTCTCTTCTGTTATCGGGATCGGATTGGTGTTGGTGTATTTGGTGGTGTATTTAATTATGGCAAAGCACACGAGGGCTATCTGCCTAAAGGGAGGGATGCCTTTCGTGGAGGACTTTCTAAGGGAAACTGGCTTGGGATCGGATTCAAAATGGCATGTATGTATGCACGTACGTATGGATGTATGTATGTATATTGTGTATATATACACACATACGTACGTACATATATACTACATGCATACATGAACGCATCCATTCATACATGCATATATACACACACATTTCTAAATCCGGTCCTGATAACAGAACAATACCAGAATTTGATCTAATAGCTTTTTTATTTTAACAATGACATTGAATATTTTAATTCAAGATGTTACGAAAAATGCTTCATTCAAAGCTATAAGTTCAGTTTTGCCTAGCTATTCTCATGTATTTAAGAAATATAAATAACAAGTTAAGTTTCCCTATATGTCCAGTAAGAAAAATCAAAGTTTGTTATATCTTTCCAATAAACAATTTATTTTGATGAAGAATAAAAATTTGCAAGTTATTGCCGAGGTCCAAACATTAAGCTAAGAAACCGGTGTACATAAATTCCTAGATCATTTTAAAGTATTTTTGGTTTCTTCCTTATATGATTTGGTGATGTTTCAAGCTTAGTAATATATTTTTGCATGTATATATTTTATTCGAAAAGTATGTTATTAAAGTACAAAACTGTAATAAAACTTATTAAATTGTGGGCAAATTATGGGTTGTTAATTATTTTAATTTAGAATCATACAGTAATACTTACTTAATGTATTATTAAAATTGTTTCAGTGTTAACAATTATCTGTATAATTTAACAGCACGTTATAAACCGAATTATTTTTATTATTATAGAACCAATCTTAAATTTGAAAACCAATTTTCATACATGTAGGTTGATTGCAGAGTTCTTAATTAGGCTATAAAATGATTATAAAAAAGTAATGAATCTCGTGCAATATTTAAAGATTATTTATCAATTCAGTGACCCTTCCATTTACTGCGTATTTTTTTATTACTAGCAGTTCAACGCAGCAGATAGCACGTCTTAACTTTTATCGTTGCTTGCAGAGCGTTTTCGATTATCCTGTATATATTTAATTTACTCAGTACTGTTTAGGTTAGGTTATCTAAATATGGTAAAGCACACAAAGGCTATCTGCCTAGGAATAGGGAGGCCTTTCTGGAGGACTTATCAGACTTTTCCCTTTCTTAAAAAGTGAATAACTTGCTTTGAATTTAAAGAGGAGACTTTACGTATCGGTCATCTGACCGTTTGTGACGTACGCCTCACCTGCCTGGGCTAATGCCATTGATAAAGATCTAAAAAATTCGAAGTTTTGCAGATTATAACGGGAGAACCTTGGTTTATACGTAACAGAAGCCTCCATGCGGACTTCAGGCTGGAGTCGATTAAAGACTTTATTACCCGCCTCAACAAAACATTCTTTAACAGAGCACTTTAGTGCATTCCAGCCAACTTTGCGAGCACCCTAAGATGAAAAATACTTGAAGAAGACAAGAGTTTGTGCCCATTTGCTGTCCACTTCCCTTACTCTACTGGTATTAACTAGCCAACCAATCAGTGCGCCTTGCACCAAATACGAACGCTCAATTTGGAGGAAACTTTCCATAACTGTTTTATTCAATCGGTGTTACTCCTTTTAAGATACTACACATGGACCTTAATTTTGTGAACATTTTAAGGGCTCATAGCGCATATTCAGTGCACACCCACGGTATCAACCCAGATGCAAAGAGCATTTGTATTCTTCTCCCTTCATTACTTGTCTCATCTGGAGAAATCTATTTGCGGATTTCAACACGAGTCAGGCCAGCAGGATCTCCTCCCCCCCCCCGCTGAATGCCATTATACTCACCAAATTATCAAGGAAAATTGGTTCGTGTTTACGTTCCACATGGAAAAAACAAGAAAACCAACCACGCAGTCAGCCTGTTCGCTGGTAAGTTCAGGTCAAACTCCTAGTATACAGCGGTCTTAAACACACGGCCGCTTAATTCTGCAGCTGTTTGAAATCTACAACCTGTTTCTTTTCCTCACGAATAGAGCAAAGAATTCTCGTTGTGTATAACGTTAATTAGGCGGCGTGGGAGAATTTATTGCTCTACATTGCTAATGATCTTAATTATAAAACAACACAATTGTTGGTTAACCCAGCTATACAGATTAAACACAGCAAAAGTTCATTCAGGATATCCTTTTTCTTTAAATGCTGAAAATGTTATTATATTCGGAAACAGAAAAGAAAGGGGAAATAGAGGTTACACACGCAGTAAACGAAAGCAGTATCTTATTTCCATACTTCTCATCCAACGCATTCATTTTATCGGCCTTCAAAACTAGAATCGCCTCGCGATGCTTTACGGGTGGTTCCCAGAATCACCAGCCACTCTACATTTATCCCATACTCAATTGCTGTTTCGAAGCATCGCGCCGGAAGTTACATCACCTTACAGATGTGATCATCGACTTGTTCTGAAATTCCGGTTGAATAATAGACACTCAGCTGCTTTCGAGGGGCACGGTCGAAAAGTGTTTTTGCGCGTTTCTATTGTAAGCAGTTCTCGGACTATGTTGATAGCGTCTCTCAGAATTCTTTTCAGCTATCGCATTACAACAGTTGACTGTTCGGAAGACTTTCACTGGATGCCAGTCTTGTATCTGAAGTGTGCCAAGTGTAGATAGAAATGTGATCGACAGGCGAGTGAAAGGGAAAATAATGTTTTGAATATGGATGATGCCTGCGAAACTATTTTTCTTCGAAAACGGGTGTGTGATAAAGTGGACTCTCAGGTGAGTTTGCATATCTGATCGTTAACTGGTACAGAGAAAAATATGTGAAACTGTAAGAGAAAAATATAGGTGTGTTATTGTGCTGTCGGATCTATGGGCGCTCATAAAATTACTTTTTTCGTTATTATTCAGATTAGTAGTTGGTTATTCCCATAAAGTACTAAAAATTTCATAGTAAGATAAAATAAGGTTAGTATTTTCAATGAATGATGAGACATACTGTCCATGTAAACAAAAGCATCTTTAGGTAAATACAGTACTCGTGGTTTTGACAGCATCCAATTTAGCAGTTGAATGTTAAATTTTATATTGATTTAAAGCCTAACATATCTACTCAATTCTGTACCTTCTTTTGGTTTTACCTGAATATTAAGCAAAAATACTTATAAATTAATTCTCGCCTTCTGAAAAAAAGTTTCAGCCTAAAACATTCCTAATGATGCAGATGGCCTTACTGATTTGCCATAATAATTTAACCAACCAACCCAAATCTGGCTTTTCTTTTTATTTAGGCATTTTGTCTTACTAGAAAAACAAACAAGCATACCTTTTGCATGCCTTTATTTTACTCTAAGAGATGCATATATTATGCTTATATGACACATGTAAACTGAAATATTCACGTTTTATGTTGTTAGTTAAATACAATCGGCTGTCTACGAGATGACTGTAGCAGGTCTCCTTTTCTGTTTCTAGCGATACACGAAGTTAAAAGTAATGAACAGTATTTCGTATTCATCAAAAAATAATGCAATGTTCCTGAACGAGAGAATGTGGATATCTGAATGCTGGTCTTGAATAAGGAAAAAAAGTGCACGATAGGACTGAATAGAATAATGAATAAATGCTTTCAGTGACACTGATCAGGCATAATGTTATTGAAATCAATGAAGCTTTTCTTTGCATCTACTCTTGAAAATTAACGCCAATATGTTTTTGCTGTAAACTTGTATGTTGTTACAACTACGTTTCTGTGTTAGTTCAAGAAAAAATAAGACTTTCTTTAAGAAAAAATATGCATCATTTTTAATTCGAATGTTCTATATCAGAGATGATCAACACGTTTGTTGTCGAGGTTGATTTTTTATCTAAAAAATAAATCATGAAATTTTCGAAATTTGGTACTCTTATCGGGACCGGATTCAGAAATGCATGCCTGTATGTTTGAATGCATGCACTATTAGTCCAAAGGGGCAATTTGCCTTGAAGGACTATAAATTTCGTTTTGGCATTTTGCGTCGATTCACGATAAGCGTTGTTTCATTTTTCAAATTGTTGCAACCAAATATCGCACTGTATTATATTTAAATAAATTAAATAATTAAGAATGTGCATGAAAGTAGGTATGTTTCTCGCATTGTAATAAAACCTAGAGCCATCAAGATTTGGTACCTAGAGCCATCCAATTTTCAATAACGTACGTCTTCCACCCGAATATGGGCATCGTGGAAAGCCAAAAATTTGAATTTCGAATTTGGTTTTATTATCTATTTCGTATTTTGTCAGACATTTCAACGAATTTTTGATTAACAAACTCAAACGATTTCAAAGCGAGCAATGGCAACACTATACGGAGAAAAAAACATTTTTATCTCCAGCGCTTGAAATTCTAAAGATATGCTCATTTAAAAATTATTTTGGCAATATATTGCTGTTGTAACTGGAAATATTGGTGGAATATTGCTGTTGAACTAAATTTTATGGTTTGAGTACGTAGAACATGATTTTTAACAAATAAAGGTAAAACACAAAACGTTAAAAAATCTCTTTCGGACGTAATTTAAAATCTGAAACCTTTCAGGTTGCTGTGATTTGTTTCAATTTTTTTTTTAACCAGTGGCGGGCTCTCAGCCGACTTCGGCTTGGCCACTATGTCTACTTACGTATGTATATGTATGCATACACACATACATATACGCACATGCATGCATACATTTCTTAATCCTGTCCGAGCCCACCAACGGCCGAGCGGTAAAGTCGATGAACACTAGTTGTTCGGTCCAGGGTTCGAAACCTGGCGAACGGGCTGGCTACATGGGCGCTTTCGTAGTTTTCCTTATGTGTAATGAGCATACGAGCCAGTATTCCTTAGAAAGCCCTCCACGGAGGCTGGTTTGGTTTGGTTTGTGTAATTATGACAAAGCCTCGAGGGCTATCTGCCTAAGGGTAGGGATGCCTTCGTGGAGGACTTTCTAAGGGAAACTGGCTCGCATACACGTTACACATGGGGAAAACCACGAAAACGCCCATGCAGCCAGCCCGTTCGCGGGATTCGAACCTCGGACCGAACTACCAGTGTTCAGCGACTTTACCGCTCGGCCGCTGGTGGGCCTCTCCACGGAGGCATCATTTTCTTAGGCAAATAGCTTTCGAGTGCTTTCCCATAATTAACCAACCAAACCAAACTTTAATCCGGTCCCGATAGCAGAAGATTACTCGAAATTTAAGTATTCGAATCATGTTGTGTGTATGTTTTTCAATATAAAAAAGGTTTCTATAAGCAGTACACAAAATTAAATTAAAAACAAGAATGCACCTTTTTGTTTGTTTTACTAATTATTGGAACGCATGCAAGAACGATCTCTTTTAGAGCAGAGATGCATTTTTTAAGAGAAAATGCCTCGCTTTCAAATAGGGTAAACCTAGAAAATCTCATCTTAAGACACCATTTGGTGGAATCCGAATCCGGAGAGAACTACCAGTGTTAAACGGTCTTACCCACTTGGCCACTTTCGGGTTAATAAATTTTAAAGATGGCAAAACGTTTTATTAGTACAAAAATGAGCCATGCGAGCGTATCTACACAAAAGAAAATAGAGGAGTTCTAGCGGCCGATTTGTTGCTATAAAACCCAATAAATTATTGGAACAATGCAATCTAAGGAAACTATTGCTTGACAGCAGTAACTGACAAAAAACACAGAACTAACATAGCTGGACAAAGCAAATGATGTAGCTTCAGAAATCAGGATCATATTTCTCATGAAAGGATCTTGTTTGGAACCGAATCCTTGCTTAACAATAGTAATTTAGTTTTATTACTTTTATTTTACAAATTATAATTTTATTACTTTGCTAGCCAGGATTCACTAGCATTATAGTCAGTTAATAAATAGCATCAGCCAACTTGAGGTTCTTTTGCCAATGAAATTAAAAATATGATAAGCATTAAGGATTATGAGAGGGCTTTTCATTTATAGAACGTTTTAAAGTTACCCATGGCAATAAATATGCGTTGCTTGGGAGTTTTTTCCCCGTAATTCATCAATCAGCATTATACTATTTGTCAATGACTAATTAGTAAATGCAGCACTTGAAATTCAAATCTGAGTCCTGTGCGGAACGTTACAGTTAATGTCCTTATAATATATATATATACAAATATTGAATGATCTAAAATTCATTGAATTCGAAAACAAGTTTTTCTAATACTTGCGCAATAGCTGCAAAGTAAGATAATAATAATTTAGTTACTAAATATTGATTATATTAGCTCCTATTATAAATTTAGTGGAATGTATCAAAATGAGGGAACTTATAAGTAGGAAGTTTAATTCCGAAAATTGTTTTTTAAAGGAACTTGAATGTAAATCATAAAAAAAAAAAAAAAAAAAAAAAAAAAAAAAAAAACTTTTCAAGGGGACTTGAATTTAAATCATGAATAACAAATATGGGTTCCCTCATTTTGATGGGCCCACCAGCGGCCGAGCGGTAAAGTCGCTGAACACTGGTTGTTCGGTCCGAGGTTCGAATCCCGCGAACGGGCTGGCTGCATGGTGGTTTTCCCCATGTGTAACGTGTATACGAGCCAGTTTCCCTTAGAAAGTCCTCCACGAAGGCATCCCTCCTCTTAGGCAGATAGCCCTCGAGGCTTTGCCTTAATCACACACACGCATTTCCTCATTTTTGATACATTTGAATTTATATTGATTTTATATATAATAATCAATATTTCTTTAGTAAATAAATTATTTATATATATATACATGATTTCTTTCCCAATTGTAGGCTCCAGCCTTTTATAAACATTGGCATTACTAAGGTCGGAAGCGGTGGTCACTTTATTATAGCGGGAACTTAATAGGTGGGCCACCTCTGTACCTTACAGTGCTCCTATAAAGCGATGGACAAATTAAATCCATGTCTTCTCCGAGAATTTAACCCGGTTTTTCTTTACTGCAGTCAGAGTCATTAATCGTTTTCCCATCTGGGCGGCACTTATAATTAGAATATGAACAATGATACATGCCAGGAAAAACCATACTTATCATATTAAATATCCTATCTTTAAAAAATAAACAGCACAAATAAAAAATTAAATACATTGGGCTTCAAACAAAAATCCTATAATTCTGTAAATCAAATATTTTAATAAACAGACCAGACGCACAAAAGATTTTACAGTGCTTATAGTTTCACATTCCTGAAACTAATAAACTGCAACCGTGACCGAAGATTTAATTTAACTGAATCCTACTAGTTATGTCCTAAATTTGGTTCTTGGTGAAAGGAAAGACAATGCACCTTTGACTATGTCTTTCCTCGCGTCTTATGGAGTATGTTTTCTATCAAATATCTGAGCCCAGCAGCTACAACATATACAAGATTTCTGTCCCCTGATAGTTTCGTAGCCCATCAGTAGACGACTAGATAAAACTGAACGCTGAAAGTTCGGATTCCAAAAAACGTGGCTGAGTACGTGGGTACTTTCATGGTTTTCCATGGCTAAATGTGAATACGAATCAGATTCAGTAAAAGAAAAGAACCCTCCACAAATAACTCACTTCTTTAGGTAGGTAGCTCTCGCATTATTTGCCTTGAGCAATTAAAAAGCCACCAACTTCAGCAGATATCACGTGCTTTGCCTTTTCAGAAAACAAGTTGATAGTTTCATACAGAGTTCGTTTCTAAGAGTTGAATGACCAAACTGCATTGATATTTTCATGTTTTCAGTGTTAAATAACATGATATATTTTCTCTTTCTTAAAAACTCTCCTACTT